AAAGCTAAAAACATATGTATTCCAAGTTAATTTGCCACTATGTGTGTTTTTATTTCTAAAAAATAAATGGTAAATTAGATATACAACAGTATGAATAATCTATACCAGTTTTCTTTGTTTTTTTGTTTGTTTTTTTTTTTGTTTTTTTGTTTTTTTGTTTTTTTTTTTGTTTTTTTGTTTTTTTTTTTTTTTGTTTGTTTGTTTTTTTTTTTGTAAATAAATAACGTAAACTAATGGCCCAAAATATTCATACACAAATATGGACAATAATGAAGTGACTTGAAAATGGAAAATGTTGTTATTTACATTTATTTGTTTTTAGGTAGTAGGGTTTTAAGTCTAATGATATAAACTTCCATTACTTTTAAAGGGGTCGGTCGCCTATGTACCACAAGAAGCATGGATCCAAAATCTAACTGTGAAAGAAAACATTTTGTTTGGCAGTAAATTTTCAGAGAAGAAATACAAACGTATCATTCAAGCATGCGCACTGTTACCGGATCTGGCTATTCTCAGCGCTGGTGATAATACTGAGATCGGAGAAAGGGTACAACTAAAGCAAATATTATGATTAAATGTAATTACCAGCTAAAATATTTCTTTCTTTAAAGATTTATCACGTTCTTTCCCGAATATTCATATCGAGGTGTTATCAAAACGTTCTTGGACTGATGCCATGAATTCAATACTATGTAGCCTGTTTTTACAAAATTTGTACGGCTTATTAAACAACAAAATTTTGAGAAATGTTTAAAAAAAATTAGCTTGATACGTTGACAACAAACCAAATTATATAAAATAAAAAGCACAACATACGATCACCCGGAGCTATTGTCGTTTACGTTTCATGACGTCTGACAACGTAATGATTTCTCACTACTTGCTCCTTTTGTCTCAATACACTTACATGTATCTCCATGAGATTCCCTTCAGTTAAGTAAAAACTAAAACGGTCTTGTTTATATTATGTGATAATGTCATAAACAGCTTTCAATGTATATAAAATTGTAAATGAATCTATCCATAACGAAAGATCCTAGCTTAATTCGTAATGCCAGTATATTTTGCTTGTTGGAGTTCGCAAAGAATAAGTTTAGCTCGAGCAGTCTACAGCAACTCTGATGTGTATCTTTTGGACGACCCTTTATCTGCTGTGGACAGCCATGTTGGAAAATTTCTCTTCAAAGAGGTCATTGGCCCAGAGGGATTATTACGCCATAAGGTACCTTATATAAATAGATTGATTGATTGTATATTTTTAAAGTCCCCCCTCGAGAATTTGTAAAGTAAGATACATAATCTTTTTTTTCATTTATATTCTTTTTGCTCAAAAAAATATTTGTTATTTCACTTTTTTTGTGTTGCAGTGGTTAAGTTTCGTGAAACCAATCATAGATTTATAAATGTTATGAAGTCTAACACACGTTCATATTTTGGTCACATATCGCCTTTGCGCAGCTTCAACAATGATTAAACTTTCAAATGTGGAGAACTCTTCATTCTCCAATGAAAAAATTTGAAAATCACAAACACGTTCACAAATTTCTGTTCTTTTAAAATTCTTTTACCCATCGTACACCCACTCTTTGTCCAAATTATTTGAACATAACAAAAAAAAAACAAAGTGTTCATATCCCTTAACGTAACAGAAACACGCATGGTTTTTGACAATATGAGACACCAGTTAAACGATTCCGCCCGACCTCTCTTTCGATCTTCCTGTCCTCTGTTAATGAATTAGTGACCCATTATCCTCCCCAAAATCGCTGAAATCATCTAAAAACAAGGTCCTTATTTCCATTTTTATACTACGTCTGAGCAATAAATGTAACAGATCCTATTGATAGTTTTATTATTTCAAAGTTAAAATGCAAAAAGCATTACAGCTCGTTACGGCGTTTTTGCCGCTTTTCTACGATTTAGTCTTATTGATGAAACTAAAAGATTCCCTTTTCATTAAAACACATGTTTCTATCATTTTTATTCAATTTTTAATTGTTTTTAGAACACATTTTTGAGTATGACCCTTCGTATACTGGAAAATGGCAAATCCTATGATTTCTTGTACATGTTTTTTTTCTTTCTGATAGGTGTTTTGTTTCAAATTTGGGAAATGACACAAGTCAAATGTTGAAAGTGCTGGCTAATATTGTTGATGTGACAAAACATTAACTTTCTTTTTATCCCTAGAACTCCTATACTCTTCATGGCCTGTGGGTTTGGACACTGTCATGATAAAATTTAATGTAGTGAATACCTCATTCTGGCTCCTTCCTCTCATAAACTTTTTACTTTTTTTCAAAAGATTTGCTTTCTAGACTCTTGAAATTGAAATTGAAATTACTCCCCCATAAGAATATGAACAAAAAGACCACTAATATTAAAGAAAATATCATATAAAACTGTTTTTGTGCTCTTGCTATTCTTTGCTCGTTTCCGGCCTTTGCTGTTTGTCAAGTGTATCTCATTGTAAATTTGTTTTAAGGGTTCAAAGCAAAATGGATCCAAGTTTCCTTATCTGTTTAACCTTCAGGCAAACATGGATAATTACTATTTTTTATTATTTATAATACCCAGATATTGTTTAGATATTCCTACACGCTGTCGTTTTCATTCATTTTTTTTCAAAATATTGGGTGACCTTTTAGTATTGAACTTTTTTTTATATTAAATGTTTCTTTAAAACAGTGTGAACTACCCCCAAAATGATGTCCATTGAATCTGAGTCTTAAAGTCAATCAAATATACTCAGTAATAATTTGTTGAATTTTCGCAAATATACATTGGCCGTTGTATGTCCTTGTCGCCAAGGACGGTACCCATTTTTGATGCCCATTATATCATTCTTCTTCATTAAAAACACCTGCTCATGTGTATAAAACAGACATTGGTTGCTGTAAATTTGGCATATTTCAGTTAAAATATCTTTGGGATTCTTAACAAGTTTTACAGCAGCTTTAATGGAGCGTTTAATTTCACTCTAGTTTACTGATTCTTTAAAATTCATTTTAAATGCAGTGCCTCGAATAGCCCTTGTTTTCCAGCTTCTGACAATGGAACTGTGATTAACTCATTAAAGGTTCAACAATTAGAGAAAGTTAAGCTTAGTGGCATATGATTTCTATCTTGTATATCATCGAGCTGATGACATTATTTATTGAACGTCCCTCGTATAACGCCAAATATAAAAGATGTTGACACTTTGAACTTACTTTTGGATCAACTCTCGTTATAATTTTTTTTCATTACTTATCTTTGTATAATAGACTCGTATTCTGGTTACGCACGGGGTACACTGGCTACCGAAGGTAGACCTAATTGTAGTGATGTATGAAGGGACCATTTCAGAGGTAGGAACGTATGAAGAGTTGATGCAGAAGAGAGGGACTTTCTCAGAGTTCCTTGAAACTTACCTTCTTCATGAGGAAGACGACACAGATTCAGAAAGTAAGGTCTTTCTTTAAAGATGCATTCTAAAAAGATTTCTATAGTTCACACCTTTCGTGGGGAAAAAAGAAGACGTATATAGTCTGTTGGAGAATAAATAAATATCAATAGATGTACATGTATTTAGATGGTTGTGGCCACTATTAGACTACTAGTATATTGATCTTTAAAGGAAGAGTCCCATTAAAAGAGATGCAAAAGTGGTGAATTTTTAAAACTAAAATGGATGAAATATTTACTGTGAAATCACAAATTTTCGTGGGGGTTTAATTTTCGTTGTTTTCCAGGTATCAAAGGACCCACGAATTTATGATACCTTCTCAAAATTGTAAAATGCTACATGCATAACTACTCAACAATTTATTCATCCATGAAATCTAATCCCAATGAACCAAGAGTTTTTTTTTCTAAAACCACGAAAATTTGACCCAACAAAAATATGTCATTCTACAGTATTTGTCGAAGGATGATTGGTAGCTAAAGATATCACTAAAGCAACATTTTGTATTATTATTACACTGGTCTATCTTTTTCAGGTGAAGATGAGACAGGTATTGTTGATAAACATGATATAAAAGTTTCTGCACACCAGGAGCCTGTTTTTCAGTTTTCCTCAGTTGTAAATCTTCAAGTTTCGCAATTTTTTAAATGATTTTTTTAAAGAATAATTTATAATGTAGGTAAGTGAATTCAAATGATATTGACTGATTTTATTTATAAAAACTTCTATTGATCTTTTTTACCTTTTTCATTTTTAATGTTTTACATAACTACCATCTTTTTTTAGTGGTAGTCATCATATTGCTTTGTTGTTTGTCTTTTACATTTATTAAATTTTTGCTGATATAAGGAGTTCATTTTCCATCAGCATTTTTTTTAGTTGTCAAGATAAGGGGTTCACTTTCTATCAATTTCTCTTTTAGTTGCCAAAATAGAGATGCATTTTATCAGAATTTTTTTTTTTTAGTGGGGGGGGGGGGGGGGGGGGGGGGGGTATGATAAAGGGTTCACTTTTTTATCAAGTTTCTCTTTTACTTGCAAATGAAGGTGGTTTTTTTTTTTATCAGTATTTCATTTGCAAATTTTTCTAAAAAATAGGATCTTTTTTGCATTCAATTTTCTCCTTTAGTTGCGAAGACATATTATTAAATATATAATTTTCCAAGACATGATGTCTATTTTCTATACAAAGTTCCTCTTTTATAATCATTGGGTTGTATTTAAATCCACTTTTTTATTTCAATTGCCAAGACAATAAGTCCAACCTTAAATACAATTTCCTCTTTTAGTTGCCAACAAAATGGGTCCAATTTTAATCCATTTTTCTCTTAAAATTCCCTTTCTGAAACATAAAAGGTCCATCTATTTTCCGTTGCCGTGTTACTTTGCTTACTGTTATCAGAGTTTCTCTTTAAATTGTGTATGAACTCTGCAAAGTCCCAAAATTATGAGTCCATGTTAATAATTATTCTCTTTTCGTTTCTTACATAACTTGCCCACTTTTTATCAGACGATTGATTGCTTTTCTCTTAGTTGCCGATATACAGGACGAGATGTGGGAACAGCTAGAGTGCGTGTCGGACTATGGTTTGTCCGCGGATGATTCTGACCTGTCTAAACTGCAAATTGCCGGGTATTATGCATTAAATAAATAAATTCTATTCTATTTCACTTTCTCTCTCTCTCATTAAACAAATGCTGTTACCTTAAATGCTGCTATTTGAAAAATATTTGAATTTGAATAAAGGAAGATCGAAACATTTTAAACCTATATCTTATCTAATAGATCTGATCTACTAACCCTTTCCCCGGTTCCTATGGCCATTTAGATGGAAATTTATCATTAAGGACACATGATACAAACAATTTTTTTCTTTGAAAAAGATTTAATATCATGTAGATATTAGAATATTTTTGTTTTGTTGGGATATGAATTTTTTCTCTGAAGAACTGGAAAATGAAATAGACTTATTAGTAATATTTCAATAAAAACCAAATTTAGACGAATCACATCCAGTAAAGGTTTGGTATTTTTATCTTAAGTTTATATTACACTTTTAGCATTTATTTTAAAAATTCTAAATTTGTTTTCATCAAAAAACCTTTACTGAGCCTTATTTAAAGTTTATATTTTTTTTTTTTTTCATTAAAATATTACAAAACATTTTCCAAGTCTTTTTATTGAGTTCTTCAAGCATAAAAACATATATTTACTAAAGTATACTATACATTGGAAAAATCTTGTGACATGATATTAAATCTTTTTCCGTGAAAAAAATTGTTTGTATCAGGTTTAAATCCATAAAAAAGTACTTGTTAGTAATTACAAGAACAAATTGTATGTATATAATTGGAGAAAAAATTCCTGTATTTTTTTTCAGAAAAGCATCATTGCGGAGAAATTCCAGAGTTTTTATTCCGACAAACAGCAAAAATAAACTCTCAGAATTAAATTCCAAATCAGAATCAGGTGCCTATTTGATGAAGTCAATGAACAATTTCGAGTCACAGCAACATTTTTTGAGGTCGAAAAAGATTACGCTTGAAAAACTGCAGAGGTCGTTATCACAGGAGGGAATCTTACCATACAAAAGTGGCGGAGAATTCGAACCGAAAGAAGGAAAACTGATCCAGGACGAAAAATCGGCGGAGGGGACTGTATGTACTCATAAGATTTATTGACTTGGAACTTGTTGAAAATGCTAACATATATTAAAAAAAAGAATAGATTTCTTTTTCACTAAATATTTAATTTCTTTTGTATTATATTAATTACACATTCAAATATTTGATGTCAAAGTAAACAGAAAAAAATAATTTCAACAACAAATAAATCATATTTACAAATCTAAGAATTTTGTTTTAAAAAATATTTATTAGTTTTAATTTTCTGTTTTGCAAAAACGTTCGATAACTCGTATCAAAAAAATTTTCAGGTAAAACTTTCCGTTATTTTTACCTACATAAAAGCTATGGGCGTGATCGGTACCGTCCTTTCTTTGTTGTTTGTAATAGTTTTTCAAGGACTTAATGCCTACGGAAATTTTTGGTTGACATTTTGGACAGAGGATGAAATTATCAAAAATTATTCACTGATTACGACGCAGAAATATTCGAATCGGACGAACTACTACCTCGCAATCTATACAGTCCTAGGAGTTCTGCAAGGTCAGATAAAAATATTTTTATATTTTATTTTGATTTGATTTACTAAATACATGTATATAAAGATAAAAATGCAAAATATTGACAATATTTAAAGTTGCCTAACTTTTTTGTTGGGATGCAATAATGTTTTATTGATGTTCTTATTCTAGGAATTTTCCTGTTTTTGTTTGTTTACCTCGGACTAAGAAGATTAATAACTGCTTCCGGATCCCTACATTCCTCCATGTTATTTTGTATTTTACGTTCACCAATGTCATTTTTTTACACAACGCCTGTTGGTCGGATCCTGAACCGTTTCTCTAGCGATATAGACATATTAGATGACCGCCTTCTTCGGTCCTTCAATTTGTGGGCTGTGATGTTGTCAACCTTGTTAGCCATTTTGGTTGTGATATCCGTGAACACGCCTAAATTTCTTTTTGTTATTCTACCCGTGGGCATTTTTTATATTTTAATTCTGGTAAGATTTAGGTAACTTTTACATTTATATTCCATTTGTTATTTCCCTTTTTTTACAAAATCACCAATTTGGAAAAATAACAATATATAACATATATGGTTATGTTTATAACGTTTTTTTTTATACCTTATACAATTTCAAAAAAGGGCAGTAAACATTTTGACCTATATGCCTAGTTAAAATGATAAAATGTGTTTCAGTTACGTCCATAAATGAACAACACTTTATGAATTTTGAAAGTAATTTCATAAATATTACTCCTTCTTTCTTATGAAAACTTGCCTTCTGTCTTGTGTTTTATTTCACTTTAATGAAAAAGTAGATTTTATTATTGTTATGTTAATGTTGAAGAGTCATTGACCCAGTTAATAAAATGTATATTTCAATAAGGTGTCTTTTAAAAGATTTCTAATGTAAAAAAAAAAACATAAAGAGGTTGTTCCCTTTGTTGTCAGTGTTTTAAATAACTGAATTAATTGTCCAGTAAGTTTTTTAATCTGTTCTGTTGCTTGATTTCAGAGGTTTTACTTCCCTACCGCCAGGCAACTGAAAAGAATTGAGGGCGTGACTCGCTCCCCTGTATATAACCACTTCAGTGAGTCTATTACCGGTGCCAGCTGTATCCGAGCTTACCGGGCGGTGGACCGATTTATTACCGAGTCCCAGGTCCGAGTCGACACAAACTCAACATTCTATCACGCCGCAAATACAGCGTCATGGTATGATTCTGTAGTAATCCCTTTCTTAAAACGATAAATCCTTTAAGGTACTTTATAATTACATTTTTATACTTAATTCAAGAGTTTGAGATTTTGCAGATACAGTGTGTTGGTTGTGAATTGAAAAAAAAAATCTTTTGTACTTTTCTATTTTTACAACGACTGACCATTACAAAACAAAACAATAGCAATTAACGAACACAACTAATTTAGATAGATTATTACTTACTAGTAAGTAGAAGACATATTGTTTTATTTCCAACAGGTGGATTGCACTTCGTCTAGAATTCTTGGCGAATGTTCTGGTGCTAGCAGCCGCTGTGTTTTCTGTTCTTTCTGATACTTTGTCAGGGGCGGGGATAGGGCTATCTCTAACATACTCATTTCAGGTATATAACATACTCTCATTTTAGGTATAACATACTCAGAATAGGTATTACATACACATTACAGGTATAAAACAAACTCATTGCATGTTAACATAATTATTTTAGGTTTAACAAACTCATTACAGGTGTAATATACTCAATAAAGGTGTAACATTCTCTTACAGGTATATAACATACCCATTAAAAGTATAACACACCTATTACGTAGATATAGCACACTCATTACTGTTATGACATACCAATAACAGGCTCATTAGCGTTTCATGATAAATATGATGGCGTGAAGCGTTGTAGTTCATATATATACCCCATGAATCTTCAAAAATTAAACCACTTCTTTTTTTACATTGTTTTTCTGATGAGTTGCCACAAATTACGCCATTCAACTGTCATTTTAAAAGCAAATCAGGTTGCACAATAGTTTGAAGTCAAATGTGGTATTATGACGTAACAAAGGACCTGTTCAAGCTCATCCACGGTAGTTCATAATAAAATGAACAAAATTCTTTTCTGTAAGGAATATTCAAACATTCAGCAAACTTTCAAATTCAACCAAACGTAAAAACAGAAATGAATTGTCATTAATTTTGGTGAGATGATTTAAAATATGAATTATAAAATATAAACAGATGCACAGTGCATTCAATGTTGAGTTATCAGTTAGCATAATTATCATGCGTGAATAAATAATATTTGAAATAAACTTTTGATTAGTTAGGAATTTTTAAAAATGCATTATTTGTAAATATTGACCAAAAAATTATTGATATTCTGCTTTCATTTTCTGTAATGTGTTTTCTATATCACCGCATACTTTCACTAATTTTATGTTATTTAATTTTAAAAAACCAAAATCGCTTACTGGCATTTCTTTTTGTTTGATTAGATATTCATACAATTCTACATTTGTTGACAGTAAATTAAAAACCCTAAAGCATCTTATTTGCAAATAAAACAATTCGTATTCGGTCTTCTCAAAAAAAAATGCAAAAAACAACTCGTAAAATTCACATAATTTAACGATATTGAATTCAGTAATTCAAGATGAAACTTTACTAAAAGAAATTTTCCACCCTCATATTTTGATAGTTCAAAATAGAAAAAAAACATTATTTTTGCTTAATAATTTAAGTTTGAATTAACTAATAATTGCAAACATATCTATGTTATCATGTTTTTAAAGACGTAAGACTCAAATTAACAGAAGAACCGAGTATATCAACATTTAAAGATCGTACATTTTTGCTAAATTTCAAAACAAAAATTATGTAAAAACTAGTTCAAATATATCATTCTGATGTTAAATCTCCAAATAAATAACTTCTTTACAAATATATTTGAATATCAGGGCATCCATTTAATATTAACAGTACAAAAAGGAATTCAAAATTAATGCATATCTTCAGATTTATAGAAACAGTTCTTATCAAATGCTGCTTAAAAAAATAATTTTTAGTACCGGTATTTGTATACTTACGGAACGTTTTAAATGATATGTATATTCATCCAGCTTAAAATTAGTTCAGTAAAAACGTGTAAAATTGGCTAAAACAATCAGTAAATGCATGAATTTCCTAGCAACTCAGTAATTACGCGTATTTCCTAAAATGGCCAGTAAATACATGTATTTACTGAATGGTTTAGGAAATTCATGAATTTTACATTTTTACTGTAACATATATATTTTAAATTGTCCTAAATATGGGGAACCCCGAGAGTTCAACTGGCGTTGGAATTTCATAAACATCACAGATTGTCAGAATGCATGTAATGTATCAGATCGATGTTACAATCCCGTTTTCAAAGATTGGGGGAGAATATGAAAACAATCTATCCTTCTGTATTCAATTCAGTATTCAAGAAGCGAAAAAATAATTAGATAGATTACATAGATCCCTTTATAAGAAAGAAATTCTGCAAGGTCATATGTCCGTTTTCATATCACAAACAACCATAATGAATTACCATATCTGAATTGGATTCCAAAACTACTTGGAAATCCTTACAAACAGATACATAGGGGGTTCCAGTAAATTTTCAACCAAACATTTTTTTACACCTCACTAGGATATTAACAGTAGAAAAGAAGAAAATTTAAAGCCGCTTGGTCCGATTCTAATCGCCAAAAATATATATTCGTTTTTCTCCTTGAAAAATAATTGTCCATAAATTGTTTCAACTTTTGTCAAATTATATCCCCAGAGAGTCTTTTTCTTTTAAAAGATATCAAAATTCAAAAGTAAAAAAATAATTTTTGTTATCACACAAAAAATAATCCTATTTATCATAGTTGATATCGCGTGAAATCACCTTTGAAAAACTAAATTTATCGCTTACATGTTTATCTCATGAAGAACGAACCCGAGCATTTTTTTTCACAACAAAGTACATATATTACCTGTACACGGACAACATTTGAGCTCCTTTAAAAAATCATTTAAAATATCTGATTTTTCCTTTATTCTTTAAATATGCATATTAATATAAAAGTTACTATGGATTATATTCAATTGATTTCTTAGTTTTGAAAAGATGTATTATGACTAAAGGCTTCTACTTAGAGAAAAAAAAATACTCGGGTTTGAATTATCTTCATTATTAGATATGTATCCGATAAACTTTTTTCTTTTTCAAAATTGACTTCACAACAAATATATAACTTCACGTTACAGGAACTATGTTTACTCAATAAGGTTTTTAATCTGCGTTTTCCATGTACGGATTGTTGTAATAAACTATTTAATCAATCTATAATTTATTATCTATGTAATGACATACTTTTATTCAGTATATAATATGTCATTTAAGGGCTTTGACATACTGTTACAGTATATAATGTCATCGTTACAGGTATAACATACTCATTTCAGGTATTAAAATTTGTGTAAAAACTTTTGAAAAATTTGAAAAAAAATTGAAATCACAAGATTTCTATTTTTACAAAATCAACAGCTTAAAAATTTGCGACTATTCAACTTTATACACCACCATAATAAATTAAAATCCAGCCTTTTTTGTTTCATTGACAGCTCTTTTTCAATAAAATTATTTTGTTAAAAACATTCTCATTTTATACACAAGTACATACAGTTCACCTCAACACGTATTATTGATTAACATGATTTTTTTTAATCAATTTACTGGCAATATTTCAGCCATATAACGCCCCGTTTTCGGGACCTATTACTGTATTATATATGCAGACTTTGTCAAAATTTTATACTTATAACCCATACCCAACATTTGCAAAGTGTTTAAATTAACATTTATATATAAAATAATTCTTTAAAATAATTTTTCTATTGCTATATCAATACGATTTATGCCGGTGACTTGAACGACTATTCCGCAAGATTATCTGTAAATTATATCTAAAGCATGAAATTTTAAAATTAAAAAAACATTATGATGGTACACCCTGACTTTACATCAAGGGCATAGTGCATGCAAAGTATGAAACATATTATATGAATATTGGCTTACTGGCAGCAATATACTTTCATCACCTGCATATGGAGTTAATGTCACTTAGTCGATTTGATCTGCAGGAACATACTCTACGTATGTACAATTTCTATAACAATATAGATTAACATTCGAAATGAAACATTTATGAGGATTTACTCTTTAAATATATTTTATTTACACATATCTTATCTGTACGTTAGATTCCTGTAAATAGTAGTGTGTAGTAAATGCATTTAAAGCTACTTTTTATATAACTTTACGAAATATTTTTAAGCTTTAAAAATATCCAATGTACCTCTGTACTGTAAAATCACATATTTTCAAGGAATAAAATTTTTGTGGTTTGAGGAAATATCTTCATTTATGAGGATTTGATTTCGTGGTTGAAGAATTGGTCAGTAGTAATTTATAGGAAAAATTTTATTTCGTGGTGGACATAAATTCGTGGCTCACTTGAAAACTTGAAAACACGAAATTTAAACCCCTACGAAAAAAAAGTGATTTCACAGTATGTACAATATCTTATTTTCAGAACATGTTGCGATGTTATTTGGTTATTATCAAAGTGAAGATATGCATTGTGACGTCATTTTTTTTATTTATCCCGGGCTCAAGTTTGGTGCATGGAAATTTACACCCAACTCTGTAACCAATCAAGATGCATAGAAAATGCATTTAATTAAAGGCTGTAATCTCCCTGTATTTAATTACAGGCTGTAATCTCCCTGAATCTGGTCGTCCAGTCTGTGAGTCAGATGGAAATGTATATCGTGTCAGCAGAAAGGGTAGAGGAGTTCACGAGACTTCAACCAGAGGTGAATTAATTCATACAAAGAAATAGTCCTGACCACATTAAACGATGAGTAAAATATTGAAAATATACTGTAAACGTACTTTTTTCCACGGGGTCATAATTCCGTTGAATCTAAATTTCTGTTTAATCCGCGGGTAGAAAATTACGCAGATTTTCTAGATTGTCACTATATACCTTACATTTATATTAAGTACGCTTAGACAAATTTCCTCGGAAAATTTATGACCGCGTACATAACGTGAATTAATACCACGCTGAAAAAAGTACTTCTGCAGTCATTACAGATTTTTTAATGGATAACATTTATTGAATTAATTTAAATTTAACCAGATCAATAATTGTGTGTGTGATCATTCCCAACCCTTATCAACGTCCACATAAATCATTTTATCTTTGAAAAAATAATTAAATTTGCTTTCACATTTTAATTTTCATTGATATTTGCATTGTTACGTCTGCAGGCTGAATGGATTGAACCAAACAGCCGTCCATCTCCTACTTGGCCTGAAACGGGGGAGGTGGAATTTAAGTCCTACACCACCCGGTACCGGGAGGGTTTAGACCTCGTGCTGAGAGGACTCGACTGTGTCATTAAAGGGGGCGAAAAGGTTTAGCAACTTTCTCATTCGGCTACAAAAAGTCCGTTTTTGATAAAGTATTTTTGAAGAGAAAAGGTACACATTATGTCATTTAAAGCAAATTTTAAATATTAAGCCAGATTATTGCAAAAATGCAAAAATACAAAATGCATCAACAGCTATGTTGGTTGTTCAAAATTTCTCGCCATGTCAAAGTGATGTAAAATAGGAAATATCGAAATCGAAAAATCATTTTTTTTTTTTTCATTTTAAATTCAAGGATTTATTCAGAAATACGTATTTTAGATACATTTAAAATTTTAAATCTTTTTTTTTTTGTTCTTTCCTAGATAGGTATTGTAGGTAGAACAGGAGCTGGGAAATCATCCGTGACGCTTGCACTGTTCCGCATCATTGAACCAGCAGGTGGAGACATAAGAATTGACAATATGTCGATATCTTTGATGGGCCTCCATGACTTACGATCTAAAATAACAATACTACCTCAGGTTTGTGATTCCTCCAAAATAAGATCAGGGATATCTTTGAAATTGTTTTATAGCAAAAAGTCTTTGACTTTTATTTATGAATCTTACAATGTTATAGTATAAATAACAGCATATTTACTTTTAATATTGATGCACTCTTCAAAAAAAGAAATGCACAGTAGAATTTTAGTGACACATTGAACATAAAGATTATTAGTCAAATGATATATTGATAATGCAGAAATATAGTTTACAATAGGAATATTATCGAAAGGTTATTATTACTCAAGAATTTCAAAAACACAGACAGTTTAAGGTCATTTAAGATCAGTATCAGACTTATTATCGACATTTTTAATCCTGTTGTATTTTTCCAGGATCCTGTCATATTTTCTGGATCAATCCGTTCTAACTTGGATCCGCTCGAGATATTTTCAGATCAGGATCTTTGGGTGGCGATAGAGAAGGCTCACATGAAAGACTTCGTCACTAGCTGTGTAGGTCAGCTAGATTACGAATGTGGGGAGGGAGGTCAAAACTTCAGGTAAGAGCTCAGGTGAAAAAGAGAGGACTCAATTAAGTGAGAGTTCAAATAAGAACTTAAGTGAGATCTCAATAGAGAGTTCAATTTAGAACTTAAATGAGACTACAACTAACGTGAAGACTTGCAGCTAAATACTTGGATTAAAGCCTTATCTGAAAAGTCTATGTGAGAACTTCAGATAATCTTTTAAGAATCGCAGTATCTAATTTTAGAATGTGAATAATTCAAAACATATCATACCAAATGAAGGCGATTTTTACAAAGTTTCCATATTTTACCTTTTTACCTTCATGAAACTAGTCGACATAAAATGTCTTCTAGTTGACAATGAAATTGTATGTAAGAAGTATCTGAAGTTTATTTTTGTAACTTGTCTTAAAATAAGCTCCATTTTATCATATCTATTAATCCATGTATATATATTGTAAAGCGTTGGTCAACGACAGCTGATTTGTCTGGCTAGAACTCTACTACACAAGACAAAGATCCTGATTCTGGACGAAGCCACGGCAGCCGTGGATGTAGAGACAGACGAACTGATCCAGAGGACGATTAAATCAGAGTTCAGTGACTGTACTGTACTGTCTATAGCTCATAGACTCAACACTGTGATGGATTACGATAGGTAAGTTACTGTCTATAGCTCATAGACTCAACACTGTGATGGATTATGATAGGTGAGTTAGTTAATGTTTATAGCTCATAGACTCAACACTGTAATGGATTACGATAGGTGAGTTACTCTCTATAGCTCATAGACTCAACACTGTAATGGATTACGATAGGTGAGTTACTGTGTATAGCTCATAGACTCAACACTGTGATGGATTACGATAGGTAAGTTAATGACTATAGCTCATAGACTCAACACTGTGATGGATTATGATAGGTGAGTTAGTTAATGTTTATAGCTTATAGACTCAACACTGTAATGGATTACGATAGGTGAGTTACTCTCTATAGCTCATAGACTCAACACTTTAATGGATTACGATAGGTGAGTTACTGTGTATAGCTCATAGACTCAACACTGTGATGGATTACGATAGGTAACTTACTGACTATAGCTCATAGACTCAACACTGTGATGGATTATGATAGGTGAGTTAGTTAATGTTTATAGCTCATAGACTCAACACTGTAATGGATTACGATAGGTGAGTTACTCTCTATAGCTCATAGACTCAACACTGTAATGGATTACGATAGGTGAGTTACTGTGTATAGCTCATAGACTCAACACTGTGATGGATTACTGTGTTAATGACTATAGATTAACACTGTGATGGATTATGATAGGTGAGTTAGTTAATGTTTATAGCTCATAGACTCAACACTGTAATGGATTACGATAGGTGAGTTACTCTCTATAGCTCATAGACTCAACACGGTAATGGATTACGATAGGTGAGTTACTGTGTATAGCTCATAGACTCAACACTGTGATGGATTACGATAGGTAAGTTACTGACTATAGCTCATAGACTCAACACTGTGATGGATTATGATAGGTGAGTTAGTTAATGTTTATAGCTCATAGACTCAACACTGTAATGGATTACGATAGGTGAGTTACTCTCTATAGCTCATAGACTCAACACTGTAATGGATTACGATAGGTGAGTTACTGTGTATAGCTCATAGACTCAACACTGTGATGGATTACGATAGGTGAGTTACTCTCTATAGCTCATAGACTCAACACTGTAATGGATTACGATAGGTGAGTTACTCTCTGATATAGGTGATGGATTACTCTCTCTATAGCTCATAGACTCAACACTGTGATGGATTACGATAGGTGAGTTACTGTGTATAGCTCATAGACTCAACACCGTGACGGATTACGATAGGTGAGTTACTCTCTATAGCTCACAGACTCAACACTGTGATGCATTACGATAGGTGAGATACTGTCTATAGCTCATAGACTCAACACTGTAATGGATTATGATAGGTGAGTTACTGTCTATAGCTCATAGACTCAGGACTGTTATACTTTTTTTTCTCAGATTCGTGGAAAATATTTTCTACTTAATAAGTAAGTAGTAAATATTTTCCACGAATATTGTCTTCTCTGAGATCACCATGGATCCATACGGAATGATAATACGAGAGGTGATCAAAAAGTTCGCAAACTATCACTATATTTACAAAACGACAATTCAGATCTGAATGAAATTTAGCACACATAGAGTCATACACGTGTTCTGTAAATAGTATATGTAATGAAACGTTTTGCCCCATGCTTATGGCGTCATAATGTGAAAATGATATCAATATGCAGTTCATTTGTGACAAAAAAATAGTTGACTCAGTCGTATTTGAGAAACGAGTGGGTGTAAAGTTAAATGTATATCTTGGAAATTCCTTTGAAGAAGCTTATAATAATTTGTGCACGATTAATGAAGACAAAATACTTGCCAGAACTTTTTTCATTAATTGGATTGATTGTTAAAGTGAAGGAAGATAGATGTTTAATATTGATGTTTGTTCTGTTGCCCAATGAAACAAAACTTGGGAAGAGGTGTACCCTTTGTTGAGCAATATGATACGAAAGATCGCCAACTTACAGTCTGCAAAGTGTGTCGTTGAATATATCAGCAACAATAATATGATTATTTATTCCCTAGAATATCGTTTACTTTAGACTTTAAACATATCAGATATGATAAAAAGAAGGGACTCATACTTTATTCACATTGAATAAACGACGCTCCAAAGACAGAGGACATGGGATTTTATAATCACTATGCACACTATGCTCATTATGCAAAAGGATACCATTATCCACCCATACTCTTGACGAGATTTGGCCAGTTCTGACAAATGGACTGTTTTTGTTGGGAAAAAAAATAATAACTTGCACGGGAAGAAATGTAACAGTCAGAAAAATCTTTATGCTTCTATGACAGAACGCTAAGGAGCATGCCACGTGACCGCCTATATCACGTGATCTGCACATGGGCAAAACGATTGTAGATGCGTATTAAAATTGGAGGCGACTACTTTGTACAATTTTAAACCCTAAATCATATCTTTTTTTAATGTTATTCAATTAGTTCGCAAACTTTCTGATTACCCCTCGTATTACACCTTTAATGATTAATTTGTAGGACATTTTTAATGGGCGCCTTATGTTGAATTTTAATGTTATATTTTTTACAGAATAATGGTGATGGACAAAGGATTGATAGTCGAGTTCGGAGCCCCTCAAAAACTACTGGAAGATAAATCCGGGGTCTTCTACAAGATGGCTAAAGATGCTAATCTCGTAAATTAGCATATCTTATCTAGAATCATTACATTACTGTGAAATCACTTATTTTTGTTGAAGGGATTTTTGTTGTTTTTAAAGTATGAAGAGATCCTTAAATTTATTTCCACGTAGAAATTCACAACACATATATCACTACTTAACAATATTTCAACCACGAAATCAAATCCCAATGAACCATTTTTTTTCCCTCAAACCATTAAAATTTGATCGCTCGAAAATTTGTGATTTTACAGTTACTGTATTTATTTTGTTCCTGTTGCTCATCACACGGATACTGGTATTCAAATTATGTAAAGTGGGTTTCAAAATTATTTTATTTGGATATTTTGACCGATATTTTCTACTATTCCTTTAAAAATCTAATGGAAAATCTAATTTTGACAGATAGTTAACTCTATACCTTTTAACATTGTAAAATTATGTATGTATGTCATTTATTTGAAAACTCTTAGTATACGGTGATTTGTTTGGGATAATTGTAATGTAAATGATTCATCTTTTTTGAAGAAGTTCTAATTACTGCTGCAAGAACTATTGCAAGAGTGAGAGTGAACTCATAAAGAACACTTTTATATGATTAACTGGGAAGGAAACATAAATTGACAAAAGAAAAGTACATAAATTAACATCCCATATACAAGATAGCATATGGGATATCACCACAATACCTTCAAGATCCACTAAGACCTTGTATTAGACCCCGCTTCCTGTTTTAATTGAGAAACAATGATGATCTTACTTTTTATTCCTCAAACAAGGACCACTTCATATATTATAGGGTTATTTCCCATCTACAAATCTCAAAAACTATCAGATTAGAAAGTTACCAACACTATCTTCTTTTACAAATGCTATTAAAAAGGCTCATTTTAAAACACCCAATAAGCTTTTTAATCATGGAAATCGTAGTCAAGATATTGTTCATGATCAACTAAGAAATAATGATTCATATAATATTTATAGTAGTTTAAATTCTTATTGTGTAAAATTATTATTTATAAGTTTTGTATTTTAAATTATATTTATATATTATAAATGTGAAAACTGTGGTTTTCATTCTTTTCGTATCCATTTTATGTTGAACAAAGAAAAACTCTATTTAATTGTTAGTATATATAGTATAGACCTACAACATTCTGTGACACTAAATCTATTATTTGGCGATAGTAATACCGGTATTCCTTAAGCAAAAAAATGGAATTGTTTGATTGTCTTCATAAATATTGTAGTATTTCACAAACCAAGAGGTTTCATAAATGATGTGAAATTATGAAAATTTTGTTCTGTTTAAATAAAATACATATTCATCGTATTTTATATAAATTGCTGAAATGCCCATTTTTTTCTATAAGTTTTACATAAAATGGTATTCATTTGTTTGTTTTTTTTCTTCATTTTTTCTCCTAAATTCCATTTAATATTTTGTGTTACTTATCTGTAACTTATTAGTGATATATGATCCTGTGATAATATGTTTAGTATAATTTATTTTAATTATTTTGTACCTGTGGAGAGGGCTTATATAGGCTATGCCTGCTGCCCAATCCATTTATGTTTTTATTACATAATAAAATATGTTCAAATCAAATCAACTTTGTGGATTGATAAACTACACTGAAAGTAAGCATTCACATTTACACTTCTAAAGGGTACATACCACAAAAAAATATTGGATGATTTTATCTAAATCTAACTATTATTTATCAGTCATTCGTGCTAAGAATTTTTATGATTCTTATTTTTTCACCTAGTGCTTCCAGCCTAAAAATATTAAAAATTTTCTTCTTATAATAGAACAGGCCTCTGTATGATTGTGTAGACATACTACGTAGTACATCTACTAATTTTTTTTTAAATAAATAAATGATAGATAAATAACCACCATGCATGTAACTCAGTCAGACTGAAGCAATCATTTTTGGTGGCCGACCATACAGTACACATGTAAATGGAGTTAAATGTCAACATAATATATAGAGAAAATAAAGATAAGATGTGGAAAATTGCAAATAGCAACAAAAAAGGGGGTGATTTCGTTCAATAATCGCTGAACATAAATTATAGATTTGATACAAATAAAAATGAGAACGTATTTGGAAGGTGTGTATGTGTATTTTTTGAGTTTAAATTAAATCAAATTAGATTGGTATACTACACTGTAAGTAAGCGTTCATATTTATATTTCTTAAGGTGGAATGCCACACCAACTTTTTATTTTAGAGATCTCTGAGTCAACCTTTTTAAAGAATGGTTTCAGCATTGAAAGGCCGACATTAGCTCTCAATTTTATATGAATTTTTTTGTATTTTCAAAGAAAATGAAAAAAATTATTTCCATCAAAATACGACGTTTCTTGTAAAAATTTTACTGTAAATGAATGCATCACATTAATATCTAATAAAATATGTGAAGAAAAGCCGTATAGATATTAAAATTTTTAAATAAAAAAATATTTATGAAAATAAAACACAAAATTTAAGAATATTTTTTAAAGAACTTTAATGTAATAACCAATATTTGCCCCCAAAATCAAACTTTGATGGAGATATATTTAATTAAGTTCTTAAATAGGGGAGTATATGCTGACTTCAAAGCACTGAAAATTTTTATAAGTAATGACGCCATATGTACAAATGAGTGACAAATTTCATTTTTTTATGAATTTTACAGAAAAATGTACTATTTCGTCTATTTTGAAATGTGTGTGTTCAGGATCTGTGTAGAATGATAATTCAATAAATATGTCAATATTGTTCCTGAGAAATATAAAATTAAATTTTGTCATTTTGAAAAGGATATGAAATATGGTGTCAAAAACAAAAATTGTGAATAAACTGCTTTGACACTATAACGTTTTCTGTTAATTTATATTTCTCATACAATTTATTGAATTCAGCACAATTCAGGAAGTTTTCAAAATTTGACTTTTGTGGGAGCAAATATATGCAATATACCGCATATAGTTCTTTGTGGTTAGAATTTTCTTAAAACCAGCCACAACTGTGGAGAACATGTTTGTTAATCATATTTATAAAAGAAATTGAAACTAAATAGCAAAATTTTAGAGAAATTATTTTTATTAATTTTGGCCAATCCCGATCAAAATTAAACCGATACCGACCATAACTGTACAATTATTGGAAATAAATAACATTTCCCCCAAGAACACTAGTCTGATTTGGTGTAAAAAGAGTTAAAACATTATTGAACTTGACAATAAAATAGATTTCTTCATTGTAAATACATGAAGAGGCAATAAATAAGTAGTTTATTCATTTTGTGTTACACATTATATTTTTAGTTTGGTTAAGTCAAAAAAAAAATTAATTTCTCTAAAATTTCTCAATTTCGTTTCAATTTCTTTTTAAAATATGAACACACAGTTTTATGGTGTTTCTAACCATAGGTTTAAATAATATTCACAAATAATGTTTTATTTCCATAAATATTTTTTTATTAAAAAAATTAAAAAGTCTAACCAGCCTTTCTTTACATGTTTCATTAGATATTAATATGATACATTCATTTACAGCAAACTTTAACTCAAAAACAATTAGTTGGATATAATTAATCTTTTTCATTTTCAAAAAATAATACCATAAACAAATATTTGATGTATGGATTGATATATATATTTTATGACTGATATTGAATAGATTGATTGATTGTATGTTGTTTAACGTCCCTCTCAAGAAATTTTCACTCATAAGGAGACGCCACTACTTGCTGGTGGGGAATTGAAATTTTGTCCTATACTCAGCACAAAAAGCCATTGAGCAGGGAGGGATCTTTTTCATGCATACCTACTCCACAGGACCTCAGTTTAAATAGAATCCCTTAATTTCTCCAAATATATCTCCTTCCTTCATCAAAGTTTGATTTTGGGGGAAATAAGATAAATAATCAAATATAAAAAAAAATTGAATTCTTTGTTATTACCGCCACTTTGTATAATTTTCCAGTTCTTTTGACACACTTTTGAATGTTTTTACAATTTTTTCCCAACTTTACGCTGATAATACCCAGATTACCCAGTAGAATTATAATCTATGAGGAATATTGCTGATTTCTGAAAAAAAAAGTTTGTCTGTGTTATAAATCCTTAGGGGATTGCAGGTTACATGTAAGAACGCCAATGCTACAATGATAGCTGTTCTGGTCCACGTAAATACTAATAAAAACTAACCAAAAACCAAAACAAAACTGGTATCCATTACATTATTGTTTACTAAAATAATTATATATAACAACATAATTTTCACATAAACATAGCTTACAAAACTTCAACATAAAGTACATTATAAAACATACATGTATATAAATTATCACAGACTTCCTTGTTGGACGGTGCAATTTTGGACAAAATTCATTTAAATATTTATCATTTAATGCATTCAAATTCAACACAGCCATATAGTAATGTGCTTGATGTATCCACATTCCATCCACACACACAATTATTGAACAATACAGGAGAATTCCTTTATCTCCACTGGTATAGTGTCTGTTTTACACCCATTTACGCCACAGTTTTGATAAATTAATTAGAATAATTTATGTATATCATTATTAGGCAGCCATTTTACTCAGGAAGTAGACTCCACTTCCGGTGTCTGGGGAGGGGGTTTGTAGAACGGATCTTTGGGAAGCATGATCTCATTCATCTTCCTGACAATGTCATGGTCGGAGGAAATCTTGTTTTTCTGGAATAAAACAGGATTGAAACACTTTCATATTAAATATCTGAAAGAATATGAAATACTTAAGAATATAATTAATTTGTTCAAAAGATGTTTAAACTAGTAAAGGAAAGGTAATAAACAAAAAATTAAATTTCAATTTTGCTAAATTGAATTCTTATGAGCCATAAGAATCAATGGGACAAAATTTTAACCCATTTTATGTTATTAAGTGGATAACACTTTTTCTGTAAAGAGAAAGCAGTCCATTGCAAGTTAGTTTTACTAAATGAAATTTCAATGAGCTAAGAAAGCGATAGTCACTAATCCGCACTTAATTAAGTGGATAACACTTCCTCTGTAAAGGGTACCAGACCATTGCAGGTGAGTTTACATCATACTAGTAATTTCAGTGAACTCAGAAATGGATAGTAATTAACCTGTAAGATGTAATATAACTTACAAACACACAGATCCTCATCAGTCCAGTTCCCCCAGATTTACTTCCCATTGCAAGGGTCGTCTGATACTGCATAGCCTTCAAAATGGCAGCCATTCCATGTTCACCAATCTGGTTCCCTGTATACATAGAGTCAGGGTATAAGATTTGTCACACACTTGGCTGGGGGGCCATGCACTCTGACGATTATTTTCATCTCAGTCTCACTTTTTAACTGTACACTTGTTACGAAATAGTGAGACTAGGCTCTGGGACTTAGAAGAGCTCACTTTGGATCTCAGTCTCACTTAAGGTCAAGATCTAATAAATAACTTGAGACTGATTTCTTGGTGCAAGATGCACTATGACGTCATAATCAATTTCAACTTTCTTTTTCCCGTCCTTTACGGCTTTAGCTGAATTATGTCGGAAATAGGGTATTTTCATGTCATTCAATTTGAAATCATATGAAAAGTAAACCGGATACCTATATCAAATTTGATATTGATTTAAAGAAGAGGCTAGGAACAAACTAATTACTGTTTTCTGAGAGACTGTAGGCAATCTGGATACATTTCCTTTTCCGAATATGAAAAAAACTCCCATATTCATGTCTGGTTTTCTTAATTTTTCATTGAAAATGAGAATATATTTTTCATCTTGTTTACCCACAAATTATGCCCCGAAACACCTTATCTGACCAAGCTAAAGTTGTAAAGCATCAATAAAGGAATTTATTTCTCAAGTTTGATTAATCTGTAGGCACCTTTCATTTACTAGATCTTGACCTTAAGGAATTAAAATATGGAAAAGTGAGACTGTAATCAAAGGAGAGATTGTCTAGATTTCTTGGCCCAGCTTGTCTAATTTTTGGGGCCCAGAGCCTGATCTACCTCTTGATTTAGAGGCCCATGTTTGATCTTTTCAGAATTGGTTTTTTTTTAAATGGACATTTCAGCTTGATTACAGCTTATTATTACCATATTTACTACTGAAGTGCATTTATACATTTTGCAACTGTTTTGTTAACATTTAAGAAGTATTTGACTTACGTGACAGATTAAGATTTATAAGAGCACGGTTGCCAGGCACCCACAGCTGACCATCAATAAAATCTGCCTCATCTGTTAGGGGATTTATAAAGGATGAATCTCCCATATCCTGTCAAGAAGCATCACATCCATTATTTCAAATATCATTAGTCTATCAATACCTATTAGTAAATTTGCTTATGAATGGCAAATTCAAAATTAATTCAATTTGTCGGAGGTCAGCAAATTAAACATCAAATATCATTACATTTTTACAGAAGACATCTTGAGCTGTCAACTATCATTTGGCAAAGAAAAATTCATATAATTTTAGTTTTAAAATTTAAAAAAAAAAAAACTTTTTTTGATAATTTTTGTGTATCTCTATATGTAGCTCTCCTTCTGAAGGAGAATCAATATAGTCTTTAAAATGTCTATAACCACTCAGCCCTCTTAAAGGCAACAGATTTTTAATCTTGTACACAAAGTAAGAAGATTTCCAGACATAATTCGATGGTTAACTGAAATCCCTGTGTTAATTGTCCCCACCTCTGGTTCTGCCTGGGATGGCTTGCCCTTGTCTTTCCCCTTTGTTTTTCCCTTGGCTGCATTCTTTGTATCAGCCACTAACGACGCTACAAATAAAATACAGTGAAGTCACAGAGAGCTTAAATTGGCTAAAACAATACAGTACACACACAATGTTTTTTTAAAAACTATACATTTTTATCTTAATATTTCATCTCTTTCTAAGGGAATAAAATGGTTGAATTATGCACTATCACTATTGAGAAGGTCTTTTTCATTGATTTTTTTTTCAAAGAAAAATTCTGTTTTTGACACATGAATTAAAGAAAATCAAGAAAATATTTTCTCTTTGTCTTATTTCCTCAGAAGCATTTCAATCATTGATCAAAATAAATAATTATCTTTCCTCTCCTCTCCTAAATGTTTTTGTTTACTACAATAACCATGCATTATCTAAAGGAATCATGTTAATTGTGATTGTAACACTTAACAATGCACACATTGAGCAGACAGAACAATTTGTTCCCACTTTAGCCACTTGGAAGCAAATTATTATTTTTATTTTAAGCTAAGCATGCGGGGTAGTGAGTAAAATTCAAGTAAATTTTATTTCTGTAAAAAATTTTGTCATTTCCTTTACAACTAAATTTTTCTATTGATAAACATTTCTTTAATAAAATCTCAAAAGAAAATTATTGTACCCCTGACCCTTTCATAAAATAAGAATGCTAGCTTTTTCCCCAAAATACTTCATTTTTATATGCTCCAATAAACTTCAGAAGCTATAATTTCAAATTATGAGAAAAAGCAGACAGTGTGCATAAAAAGCCTCATGCTTGCTTGAGTGCTCGCATGCACCACAAGTGTTTTGGGTATGAATCAAGGTTAAAGTTTGTCTGTTAAACAAGAACTATTAAAATTTTAATTTAAAGTCTTAGGGTTCTCTTATATGACATAATAAATATTATATATTGTACTGAAATATGTTATTAATCAAAGACAATGCCCAAGTTACCTTGAAGAACTCAAAATTCAGAGTATGGGCATGTTAAAGGGAGGGGGAGGGGGTAAAAATCATTGCAAAAAAACCGTACCAAAAAACAAAATACATGAAAATATATTTCGCTATTTTGTTTCAGTAACAAAAAATAATTAAGATTATGGAATGTTAAGTCACCAAGAGGAATTCTATAGGGGAGGGGGTCCCTACATCAGAAATGGGATTGCAGTATTCGTTTTTAAAATAAAAGTTTAATCATTTGTCCTGATATCTTTCATCTTATTGGATAATTTCTCGATTTTAGCTTTTTTTTAAAAGTGATATATTAAATAAAAACTGATAAGAGCTTGCTTTCCCATTTCTGATGTGCATATTCCAACAAGGGAAACAAACATATAGCATTTTACCGGCAAAAGATGTGACCAATCGCATTGTAGCCGCTGGGATTATAAAAAAGATAAATTTGCAATATTTTCTCTATAAAAAGGTCTCTGTTTTATTTGCACTCCTTTTTCTTTAAAACTGTGCATTTTAAAAGCTTATATTGCATGCTCTTCCTATGAATATTTATTAGATGCATAATAAAATAATCATTAATGTTCAATTAAATATTAATTTTCGATCTTTTCTATGAATATTCATAAAGCAGTGCAAGTGTACCATTTATTGTGGCCAAAAACCGTTTTGTAACGAATCGAGTAGCTAATGTCATAGAAACAGAAACACTTCCGTTACATGTTTAAAATCAAAGTACTAAAAGTTCTGAAGACTATAACACTTAAAGTATCCACCTATACCAAAATATTCACTAATTCCCTGAGGCTCCTTTTCACAGAAACCTACATAATACTTAAATAGTATGGTCTTTGGATTCAACATAGGCAGGTAATTGTATTCTAGCTAGTTACGTAATTATAATTTCAAAGATGAATTAATGAATGAAATGAAATGATTACATGTAAACACATACATATGCATGATTTGAGATGCAGAAAATGAAATAATGTAGCTTAGTCTTGTTAATTTTTCAAAATGTTACTTTCTAGATAGAACACACATTGGTTTGAATTCAAAACTATATTTGAAAAACAAAATTCCAGTGTATATTTCACCAACAAACAACTCTCTCTCTCTCTCTCTCTCTCTCTCTCTCTCTCTCTCTCTCTACCTAAAGTTAAGCTATAAAATCAGAAAAGGAAGAAGAATTAATAACATAATTTTAATTAGTTTCTAAGCTGCTACAAAGTAATCATAAAAATTCGAAAAATTCAAACCTTTCTTCCATTATCTCTGCCACTGATTAGATATGTAAAGAGACCCTCTATGCTAGATACATGTAAATGCCCCATCGCTAAAGGGTGTCTGTTAATTTTCCAATAAAATTGTCGATCCATTTTTTAAGCTACTTACCCCCAGAGCCTCGACCAGTGGTGTTTCCGCCTTTGTCTGTGCAAAAAATGTAATAAATATTGCAAAATCTAATTAGCCAAACATGTGGAAAAGGAATAGCAAAACACACACGTGAAAGTTAAAAAAAACATAAAATATCACACAAGGCAAGATAATTTAACAATGCAATGAGGTTTACTCATAGAAATGACAAGGATTTTTTAAAGGTTGTTAGGCAATTAAAATGAATGAGTATCATTTATGAATGCAGTGTCAGTAAGGAATATGCAAAGTACATGTATGATTGTGCAATCAGGTTACCCAAAGTCAAAAACCAAGATAAATGTTAATTATGCATTTCATTTTTGGTAAAGAATTACTAGCCTTGCTTAGCTAATTTCTTTCAAGTTTTAAAGGTAATTTTAAATAAATAACAAAAACTACTTATCACAAGACAAAATAAGACTTTAAATAAAAATACAACTGAAAAAAAATTTTCTTTTCAAATTTCATTATAAATAGTTTTTAAATAATATTGTTGTTGTAAGAAACAAACAATACATTACTTTATTGTTGATTTATGATTTATGATGTAAAAAAAAGAATAAAGACACATGTATTCATGATCAAAACTCCTAATCCTGAAAAATTATGGGCTATACTACAAAAAGAGTATCCGGTCATAGCACTAATAGCAGCATAGTGAAAAAATGTAAAATGTAAAAATTATGTTACATGTAGAGAGTTTATCAAGATGCTGGAATATTATTACCAAATTGTATGAGTGAAATGATAAGTATTTGATTGTTAATTAAGTTTTAAATATGAGCACTGTTTATGAAATGAAGATGTATACAATGAGGCAATGAACACCGTCCAGATATTTCATTAATTTACATTTGTCATAAGATAAAGTTTGAAAAAGGTTATTTCAAAAAATAATTTATACAGCATTTTCTATTTGAGTGTAGAGTTGCTGAATTCTACTCTTAAAAAATATTAATTTCTATTAAGTCCATCTAAGTTAATGTATCAATATTATATTAAAGTATGTTTACATGCAAATGCAATATTTCACCAAAAAATTAACATATTTCATTAATACCTGTTCCGTATATAACATGCTATACACTAAGGTATTATCCAGTATATATTTATATACAAGAATGCAGCCAAACATATATAAGATATAAGCTCAAGCTAAAGTTAATTGTTTATATTATAATCCTAGGTGAAGGGGAGGCCACCCAGTATAAGACCATTCGGGTGAAGAAAAAATGCTATTACTGTCCATAGAATAAACAGGATTACATTTACATATAAGTAAACTGTAGCCAAAAATTCAATTACAAGCATCTGAATCCTATAATCACAGTTGACAAGATAAAAGTAATTATGACTCTGAGTGGTCATTTCACAGAAAATATTTTCAGAATTGACATAGTAGACTATTTTCTTGTTGATCACTTATAAGTCTTTGACAGAGTGATTCAGGTGTCAAGAAAGTGGTGACTGGAAAAGAGTGGAGTCATGTGGCTCTCCCAGAGAACACAGCAAGATTAAATTTTACTTAAGAAAAACTTTTAAACCATTCCTTTAACAAAGAAAATATTGGGAGAGGAGTATCTAAGTTTCTGGAACTTGTTTCTGTTCCATTTGGAAATAATGCCAATAGTCAATAATGTTTTAAACAAACAATAGAAAATGACAGAATTCGCCTAAAGAGGTGGAATTCTTTACATAACAAGAAAACTTTACAGAAGGGGAAAGGGGATAATATGATCCAAAGAAATATATAGAGTTTTCCTAGGAAGAAGGAGAATGTAGGGTTTACCAACTACCTACAAACAAATCCTTATGTCCAGGTTTCAAATCCCGCTGTGGGACGTGGAGATCAGATGAGACCGTATAAAGTAAAAGATCCCTCACTGCTCAATGGCTGTAAGTGCCAAGTATAGGACAAAATGTGCAGCTCTCCACCAACAAGTGGTGGCATCTCCATCTGAGTGGAACAATCTTGAAAGGGACATTAAACAAGATACAAACACACAAAACATGCTTCAAAAAACTTTACAATGTAGAAAGAAAATGTGGAAGGTAGAGTTGGAATAAATTTGACTCTGTTCACTAAGTAGGAGATATTCAACTGGGGCAAAGTCAAAATTAAGTCATTTCCTAATTCATTGTGGTGACATACAGCCAGAATTGGTTATTCTTCAAAAGTAATAAAATAAGAGGTAAATGGGATTCTTTTATACACTACATGTATTTCATTATCAGTGAACAAATTTGAATTACAGTTTTGTCTCAAACCTCTGAACCAGAAATGAGAGTTTAAAATGCGAAAGACTAAGATACTACTGGTATAATTATGATCTTTGTCATGCTATGTTTGCATGGTATTAGATATAATTTTAGCTTAGATTCAGAATTTACTTTTAAATTAAGCAAAGCAAGGCTACTATATATAAAATTCTGATATCTGGGAGTTGAGGCCATGCTTCAGGGTGGAGGCACAGTTCAGGCCTAATAGGACCCCAATGCTGGGTGTCTGGGAGTGTTTGTATAATTGTGGGGTGGTAGTGGTACTGAGATACCTTTGGTTATAGAACCCCGGTGCTGGGTTCTCCTGGATTCTTCCTCATTAGCTATAAATCAATTACATTCAATGAAAGGATACGTTACTAAAATAAGTTCATCTCACCATCAATGTCCATAAACATGATAAAACATGATCAACACATGTCCAATAATATAATAAAGGTAAGACTTTATAGGGCATCATAATGTGATAAACTCTGTACTCCAGATAAGTTATGGTGTAAGGGTAATTAACCTTGACTTGATAACAGATAGATGTAATAGAAAAATCAGAAAAACACTATTCCATGAAAAATGAGAGAAAATGTCACATTGATCAACAGATAAACTGTAGCCAAAAATCACAACACAGGCATGACAGGAATTTGAGAGCACATCTACTGAATGAGAAAACAGAGCACATGTCTAGAATTCAGACACTGTCTGAAATATTTAAAGTGACAATAAAGGCTGAGTTCAATAGCAAACTTGGCCAAATAAAGTAAAGACTCAAAATCAAGGACTGAAGGTCAAGGAATACCTTTCCTACTGCTTGTTCCACCTTCTGATCAAGAAAATTGAAAGAGAAAACTAAAATTTAGCTTGTAATCTTCAAAAAACATCAGCAGAACAGAACTGTGAGTATAAATGACATTTTTGTCAGCAAATGCTTTAAATAATTAAATAATGTAAATGCAGAAATTTTCATTAGGGATTAACATGATTAAATTTCATTTATTTTGTCTTTAACAATTATCAACAAAATTAAATCCCTCACAAAAGTGTCATATTTCTATGAATTGAATAGACTTATTCTCAAAACTATAAATTAAATTTAATGCCCATGAAACTAGTTTAGGTACCAAATCAATAAAATTTGATCTCCAAGAAAATTTGTGTTTCTACAGTAATTGCAAAATGCTGTAACTCCCCAAAGCCAAAGAAAACCTTTGTAATTCAAGTCTTTACATATTGTATGATATTCATGTCTGCTTGCTGAAAGAGTCCTGCAGCTGCAGATTTATACCTTTCTAATTCAAAAATTAGAGGTGGTGTTCCTGAGGATGGTACCATAAAATGGTACACTTTCTTTGATATTTTTTAAAATGTATGCATCTGTAACGTAACTAACGTTGTTGTCCTGCAGTCTTTGTAAGCCATTTTCTATTTAAAACTAGTATATAATTATGTACTTAAGATGTTATTGTTAAAAGCTTCAAGCTTTTAGTTTTCATTAGAATTCCAGTTTCTAAATTTTTACTAAAGAAAAAAAAAGCAAAATTTGTTATTCTCCTGTAAAAGCTCTTGTACATCAACTCCAGAAAATCATAACAAATTACGATCTAGCGTAATTAAAAAAGGCAATGACTCAAAAGTAATTAAATATGTACACTACAAGAATATACATATATATGACTGTATAACATACCATATAGCCCCCAAAAAAAGAAATAAAAGAAAATGGCATATACAAAGATATATATAAAAATTATAATCTGTAACATATAACCTTTTCCGCTCTTGGTATCTGTTGGTGTAACATGTTATCAGAATTAAATGTAATCAGTATTAAGAAAATATCAATTAAGCTATCCCAAATTAATGATAATCTTTAAAAATATGACACAAGTTGGCATTTCTTACTATTGAATTCTCAGTAGACACTGATTTTGTTCTTTGTTTATTAATTAATCCAGAGTTTAACAAAATTCAAGGTCAATTTTTATTTTAAAAAAAAAAAAAGATGAAGAAAAAGAAAATGTTAAGATATATAACAATTTGACTATTTGAACTTAATCATAAAATTAAGCCATATTTGTCTCTACTGGAGTAGCAAATGTAAAATCCTGTGTCATTTAACAACTGCCATAATGTCATCTTATTTAAGCAAAAGCATTAAAATACAAGACATTACGAATCTTCAGTTTAATATTTTCTTAACATAAAGCCTCAAGCAGACCCAAATATTCACAAACCCACTGCAGTTTCTTGTTAAATATAATCTAATTTGATAATAATGTATTAAATATTTGCCAGCATGTTGTTTAGCTTAACAAAGTGGAAATTAAAATCTTGCAAATAAAACACTATTTACAGTAGTTATTTCATTTATCCTTTTGTATTATTCAATTTCTATTTCCATTTTCAAGTCTTTTTTAAATTTCTATACTCTTGGATCTTTTTTGTTTATTTCAAGAATCTTTGTGTAATTACACTTCTAAAACTTTTATGGACATCTCGTTTTAAACAATTTTAAAAGGGAATATTAAAAAACTTCCAAGGACATTTAAAAAATAAATTAAAACAAGGAAATATTAGATAAGTTTAACAGGGAGAAAAATAACAAAAACATAGAGGGAACTTCACACAGGACAAAACATGTCACCGCACACAGTGTGCTGACAATTGTTGAACACATCATAAATTGTTAGATCCGCCTACCACATACAGTAAATTCCTAGATCCGCCTACCTTTTTTAGCTGCTGCTTTATCATCCTTCTTTCCTTTTGTTTTGTCATGTTTGTCCTCCTCCTTGGGGGCTTCTTTTCCTCCTTTACCCGCATCCTACACAATAAAGTCAAAATCAGGATTAGTACTAGGAAATCTAATTATCCTGCACAATAAAGTCAAAATCTGTTTTGGAGAAAATTAGCCTGAGAACCAGAGAATTAAATTTCTTTAGCCTAACCAAATTTTTATTTTTTATAAAATAAAAAGTGTTGTTGCGGTCGGTTTTTTTATTTTTAGTTTTGGCAGATTTTTGTTGTGGACTCATTTTTACCTTTTTAGTTTGTTGCACTCAGTTTTACCTTTTTAGTTTTGGTTGACTGTTTCTGTTTGTTGCGGTCGGTTTTTACATTTTTAGTTTTGGCAGATTGTTTGTTGTGGTCGATTTTTACCTTTTTAGTTTGTTGCACTCAGTTTTACCTTTTTAGTTTTGGTCGACTGTTTCTGTTTGTTGTGGACAGTTTTACCTTTTTAGTTTTGGTCGACTTTTTCTGTTTGTTGCAGACAGTTTTACCTTTTTAGTTTTGGTAGAGTGTTTCTGTTTGTTGCAGACAGTTTTACCTTTTTAGTTTTGGCGGACTGTTTCTGTTTGTTGCAGACAGTTTTACCTTTTTAGTTTTGGTCGACTGTTTCTGTTTGTTGCAGACAGTTTTACCTTTTTAGTTTTGGTCGACTTTTTCTGTTTGTTGCAGACAGTTTTACCTTTTTAGTTTTGGTAGAGTGTTTCTGTTTGTTGCAGACAGTTTTACCTTTTTAGTTTTGGCGGACTGTTTCTGTTTGTTGCAGACAGTTTTACCTTTTTAGTTTTGGCGGACTGTTTCTGTTTGTTGCAGACAGTTTTACCTTTTTAGTTTTGGTCGACTTTTTCTGTTTGTTGCAGACAGTTTTACCTTTTTAGTTTTGGCGGACTGTTTCTGTTTGTTGCAGACAGTTTTACCTTTTTAGTTTTGTTCGATTTTTTCTGTTTGTTGCAGACAGTTTTACCTTTTTAGTTTTGGTCGACTTTTTCTGTTTGTTGCAGACAGTTTTACCTTTTTAGTTTTGGTCGACTTTTTCTGTTTGTTGCAGACAGTTTTACCTTTTTAGTTTTGGCGGACTGTTTCTGTTTGTTGCGGTCCGTTTTATCGTGTTGTGAACTACTCCTGACACTCCCCGGCCTGTCCTTGGAGTCAGCTCTACGACTGGGTGGAGGCTGAAATGTTAATCAAAAGAATCAGAATATCTGCAGCCTCATACTGCAACAAAAAACCTGCAGGTACAGAAGTAGTTTAAGTATGAGTTTATTTATTTAATATGCTGCTACTGTTTTGACAAAAAAATCATCAAAAGGAATATGTGGACTGCCTAATAAAATATCTTAACATTCAATTATTATTTTTTTAATGAGTAAATAAATTTAAAAAGTCAAAAGAAGGAAGATCTGAGCACAATGTGACCCTTCCTGAATTTCTTAATTAACATTCAGGTAAATCAGTGCTCCAAGTTGCGACTAAAATGGTCGCATTTGCGACCAAAAAATTGATTTTGTGACTAGAAATGAAAACACACTCGCAATTTTGCGACTGAGAAAATTTGGGCTGGAAACGTCCATTTTTAAGATCGGGATCGAGATTTCATTTGTCAAGATTCTCTATCAAGAAAATGTTTGAAGGCATACACTTAAATACACTTTACAAAGCGTTGCATAGACTTAGATCACGTAATGTTATGGCAGCATGCTGTACAAAGTTTGATAGAACCAGAGACGTGTATAAATAATGTTCCTGATAGAATGGTAGTGTTTCAGAATCGGAGGGAAAATACTATCGATTATCGAATCGAATCGGAAAGACCATTTTGATTCATAATCGAAAATAATCGGACATTTCTCATGTTATTTTTTTTACATAATGAAAGGCCCAGTATTGTGTTATTGACAAAGAACTATACAGAACACGTAGGCCTATATTTTAGTTTTAATGAATCTGGTGATTTTCTACTATTATTAAAGGAAAGGATTACACTTTTTTAAATATCAAAAAAAAATTAACTTTTATAATATTTAATTATTAAACTGATAATTTAATAAACAATTATGTTTCATTTTTTTGATAACATCTATGATCTATCAAGTTCATAATTAAACTATTGATCAGTTTAACATGTTTAAATTTTGTTTAAAGTTAATTGATTTTTAAAGATTTTTAAAATCAAAATTTTATTCCTATATATTAAGAAAAAAGTAAAAGTTCAACAAGTTATCTACCTTCATAAATGTTCACATTTGAATGGGTAAAATGCACAATAAAAATAACACTACGTCTTTTGAATTCCCTATATATAATAAAAAAAATAGAAGCTTATTGTTTAACTTCTGACCACAGGCACCTGAATTTTTATCAGTAAGTCGCTAATTAAGCCAAATATCGAAAAATTCTACCCCCTCTATATATTTATATATAGAGGGGGTAGAATGTTTCGATATTTGGCTTAATTAGCTACTTACTGATAAAAATTCAGGTGCCTGTGTTCTGACTGACCTCTTAATATTTAAACTATAAAAAATAATACACAAAATGTGAGTGGAAAGTAGAAAATATCGTTTCATGTGAGAGCAGAGGAAATTCAGATGAAAAGACGATTTTTTTAAGTGGTGCTCTCAGTGGCTATATTTCATCATCAATTCTTTTGCTGTCTATATGAATTATGTCTAATGGAAGGGGAATTATTTAGATTTAGCCATAATTATTATTTTCAAAGCATGTTTACGAATTATTCACTGACTCAGTAACCAGGGTTAATATACAAGCACCGTTTAGTACAGGCGACGATCAGGAACTTGTGTGCACATAGTAGATGCATAAAAAATAATCAAGGTACCATCTTTGTACAAAAGAAAAAAGGTACACTACACTAAAAAGACAATATATATTAAGATTTAGCATTATTTTTAGAGTATCTATAGCGACAATCGATTTTGCTGTTAAGCTATCGATTGTCGGCATCGCCAAGCTTCCAACGACGATTTTTCGATCATCGGCGACTATCGCTGAATCACTATAGAATGGCATCCAAACTTTGTAAACTCTCTAAGATCCGACCTTGTTATTGAAGCATTTGGTCAATTGCTTGCATATCACAATGAGTCATGCTAATAAAGAGTGTTCTGGCGGCATTTATATTATAATGACTGTGTAATGGGTTAGGTATGTAGTTGTAAGTAAACATGACAAACAGCATGCAAAGTCCTGTCTCAACAGCTGTCAAGCTTGTATTTTCATTTGATAAAATTTTATTTCTTTGATCAGATTACTTGTGTTCTTCTGTGTACTGTACAACAATAAGGGAACATGTATTTAATAAACAATATTTCCTTCAACCTAGCAAATTGTTTATAGTCATAGTAATAAGTAATCTTTGATTTAATAAAGACATAATACATATCCTTATTTAAATTATCATGTTTTATTCAGAAAATGTATTTTTTTTACTTGGCGAGTGAAATATTTGATTATGGCGACAAGAAATTCTGAAATGGCAACTAAAAAAATTTTTAGGTCGCCATTTTGTGACCTAAGAGCAAGTGTGACTTGGAGCACTGTCAATATATGAAGTCACTGAGTACAAAGTGCCCCCTTACTGATTTATTCCTGTCAGGTGACAGTGAAGATTACTGAGATATCTGATTACAAAGTGCCCCCTTACTGATTTATTCCTGTCAGGAGAACCCAGTGAAGATTTCTGTTTCCTCCTCTCTACCACCTCCTCATGTGTCAGAGGGAACCTTGAAAGCACCTGTAATCAAAGCAGTAAAATTGTTAATACTGAAATATTTTTTGAATTCTCAGACAAATATTTCTTTTCATCTGACCAGACACTGACCAATGTCATTACTTACCTCCCCTAGTTTGATGGCCCCCTTGTCTCCCACCTGGTTACTGGATAGAGATAGAGACATTAGAGTACGGTTCATCCTCAGGCCCTGAAAATATAAGTACAGTGTATACACACTCCAAACAAATCAATAACAATACTGACAGCCTTTATTTTGGATGATGATCAAGACAAAATTAAGGGGGAAAAATCAACCAAAAAAAATTAAACAGCTTACATTTGCTATGTCTATTGTGCCTTGATCTGAAATCTGGTTCCCTGCCAGGTTGAGAGTGACCAGTTTATTGTTGGACCTCTTCACAGTGCCGAGGGCCTCCCCAATAGATTTGGCTCCCTTGTCTGTGATGCCACAATGCCTCAGAGAGAGATTCTGTACACTACAACAACAAAACACACTTTGTCAGTTTTGCCTGAAAACCAGTCTCTTTTACAGTAAAGCATGCCTGAAAAACACATGTTAGGTTTCCAAGTAAATGTTGTAGAAATCTATGAACAATCCTTTGAATTACAAATTAAAATACAATTTCCAACATTACAAAAGATTTTAACAACATTTAAAACTTAAAGCCTGGAATGAAAAGAGGAAGACACTAATACTTCACAATGTACTTAGAGACTTTCATCTCCAAACAATGTAAAAATAGACTTTTATCACAATATACTTGAGGACTTTAATCATTAAGTCCCTATGGACTTTCAAGACAATGTACTTACGGACTTTCATCTGTGATCAGTTCATGCCAATTCTCCTCTTTAACAGCGTTCCCATCTAAAATCAAAGTCCTGCAACAGAAATCAAGATACACGGAGTCCATTAGGTACTATTAGCAAGGTGAAAAAAGAAGCTGCTTGAGACATGGATTACATAAGATAGACCTTACATTGCATTGTGCTTAAGGGGGGAGACAGACAGAGAGAGAGAGAAAGAGAGGTAAGAGAGAGAGAGAGAGAGAAAGAGAGGTAGAATTACCTTAGGTTGACTATACTTGGCAGTGTGCTCGCCATAATACTGACAGTTTCTCCTGTTAAACCTGTGTTCCATAAACTGAAAAGAATAAAATACAATCAATATTTATACAACCTGTCTAGTGAAAACACTTCATTCATTACGAATGTGTTTTTAATTTTTATCCAATGGTAAAAAGGGCATAGATTTCTACCAACACCTGCAACCATTAATTATTTACAAATTTACAGTAGATCAAATTTTTGAAACACCTGAGATAGGTTTTTGGCATTTTTATATGCCTCAAAATTTCCATAAATTCATGTTAATATTATATCATTTTATCTTTACCATTTGTTTGTGAGAAAGAAAATTTGGCAAGGAGAAGGAATCCTCCTTATTATGCAAAAATAAAATGAATAACAAATTATTTAGAGTTTGCTAGTCGCAGATTCTTACTTAATGGTATGTAGTTTCTCCATGACAGACCAGCACTGCTTTAGTGTATTCATCATGATATCATCTATTTTCCAACCTACAAGAAAATTTTATTTCAGACCAGTCTGAAACATCCATGGTAGTAAATATATCAGTGTTGGAGATACTCAAGTTCAGCTATATTTGTCTGAATGATAACCATGTAAACCTACCCCTGATGTAGATTTCTGTGACTGTCTCTGGTTTGTCATAATTCTCCATTTCTACCTGGATGGCCGGTTTAAAGTATTCAAACTTATCCTTAATAACATAGGTCTTAGGTGGAGGCTCGGCATTCTCTGTGTACGTCAATCAAAGTATTAAAACAAGATTATGTCTTTACCAGTAATTATACATGTACAGTAAAACAGCTTAATATATTGAATCAAATAGCAGAGCAAAGTAGATCTTAACTCCTTGTAGTTTTATATTAACTGATATAACAAAGTTTGTTTCTTATGAATCAAAACAGTTGATCTCTGGCACTTTTAACATGTTTTACTGTATATATAGCTACTCATTGTAATAAATCAAGCAGAATCAATTATGAGTGTGTACATATTTTTTTTCTATTACTGTGGAATATTTTTTGTAATTTTGATTTATTTATCATTTTATTATTAGTTTAACAAAGAATTACTTTAAATGATAAATGTTTTCAATATACAGGTGACTGACAGAAAACTTGATGACGTCAACAAATACACAGAGCAATCACAAGCTTTAGCTTGAAAAACAGTTCACAAATCAAAACACTGGAAGGCTCATTTGTTGCAAGTAATACATTTTAAAAACTTTTTTATGCATGACTGTGTTCTTTTATTTTGGACAAAAAAAAATTAAAAATATCTATTGCAGCACTTTTGCACACGTGTTTGGAGGGGTGATTTTTTTTCCTTTTGCGTTTTAGATCAAAAGAAGTTAATATCATGAATTCTTACATTCACAAAAAGACATAAAATAGCATTTATAAATATTCACGTAAGTCATCAAAATCAGATGAGACCTATTTTTTTAGATCTATGTCTTCAATCAAAGTACTGAGAGCTCTGAGAGTCTGACATCCAGGTCACCTGTTCAGTCACCTATATATAACTTGTAAACATATTAAGTAATAAGCTTACATCAGCAAAGACAAGGACAGAGGAAATAATTACAAACAAGATATTGTTTTTAACAACATCATTAGTTGGAAGTATTTTAAGTAGGTATTTAAAACATAATATTAACAGATAAAGGATGCAGAGTCTTCTTAAGGTATGAATTCAAACGAATATATAAAAGTCAGAATATGTTAAAGAAATAACCCTCTTCCCATTCAAAACAACACACATTTTTAGCTGGGAGATTTATTTGTTAAGATATTATTTATCTTTTATTTGACAGAGAGATTTAGATTTGAATAAGAAACTGTTACCTTCAATTCCATCAGAGTATAATCATTTTTTGGCATGATATTCATTGTCGGTGCTTAAATTTTTTTTTATACATTATTCACAAAAAAAAACAATTTGGAAATGGCATCTAAAAATTCACTTCCTCATGACAAACTAAGCATTACAATCATATGCCATTAAAATAATCTCGAAATTTGCAATTCTTTCTCTGATACATATGTATAGATTTTTTTATTGTGTTGGGATGCATAAAGAGTGGAGAAGAATATAAAATGAGGGAGAAGGGGGTGGGGTGAATTTTGTGGAGAATGAATGGGGGAGTGGTATGGGTGATTAAGATTTGGGAATAAAGAAGGATACAGTCTGATTCATATTTTGAATAACAGTGAAATTTACTTCTTTGCAGGGGGAGAAAGTCATGTATATAGTACAAGATACTACATGACTTAAAAATATTGTTACCAGATCATTTCCATCTTTGGCTTCAGGGTGATAAAACTTAAGACTAACTCAGACTTAGATCAAAAGTGAGCTCATCTAAGTTTTATGACCCTGGAACCTGGCCTGAGGGCCATAAAACTAAGACGAGCTCACTTTTGATCTCAGTCTCACTTTTCCACAATATATTCCTTTGGTAAAAGTGAGACTGAGATCAAAAGTGAGTTCTACTAAGTTTTATGGCCCCAAGGCCTGAATTTTTAACAGTATTATAACAAAATTATTTTAATCACTGGGCCGGTTAATCGCACATGAGATGTTACCGGGTTAGAACAAGCACAAGCACCCACCACCCTCCGGATCCACCTCTGGCTCCGGTTCCGGTTCAGGAACCGCACTCTTGCCTTTATCTTTCCCTTTCTCTGGTTTACTGCTCTCTGGTGCCGCCTGTGTGGGCGGTCGCGCTCGATGGATCACGGGAGGAATGGCTACCATGGCATTACGGCGACACAGTTCTGTAAAGTCAGCCTGGAAATTCCCCGTGCAGCTGTATGGCTCTATAAATAGAACAGATAATCAGAGTGTTCTATAAATAGAGTGAAAAAGTCTGCAAGTGTTTATACCTTTACAGTCTGTACACACAAAGAATTGCATGTTTTAAGCCAAAAATTTTAAAATAGAAGTGACCACTCTATGTTTTTTAAAACAAACAGTTTAAATCTCTCAAAATCACATGCATTTTTGAAAAACAGGCAAAATTGGAAACAAGTTAAGTTGTAATGTCATAACATAGAACAAGAAAATTGAAATTATTACATGTATTAAACAAGCCAAAAAAAGTGCCGTGGTCATTAAAAATAATTTGACGCCAAACTAATTAGGACAATCATGTTTTGGCAGCATGCTGTTGGAGTTATAAATAGGCAAAGAAATGGCGTTATCTCACCTAGCGGTCTGGATGGATCTACAGGAGTAAGAAAACGTATAGACGCCTCCTTGTGAAAACTCTCTATAGGTACTGGCAGACAGACAGACGACAGGCAGACAGATGGAGAGACAGACAACAGTAAGACAGATGGACAGACAGATGACAGGCAGACAGATGAACAGACACAGAAAGAAGAGAGAAAGAAAAGAAATAGAAAAAGAGATGAAGCAAGGAAAGATACATGTAAGTAAAACTTTCCTAATCCAGAAACGGTGTATTCCAATAATGCGGCTTCCACCCAAAGCAGTATAATGTTCATTAAGTTCCTTTCAATAAATTCAATTAATAATATTTAAAATATTGTCTTCCGTAATATGGAATGTTGTTTAATCCTTCAGAACCACTGGTGTCTGGATTGGACAAGTTTTACTGTACATGAATTACATGAATGAAGATGGTTTACACAGTCATGATTTTTGAATTTCAAATTTAAAATGAAACAATTGCCATTGGTTAATAAAAAAATCTCTGAATACCCTACTATGGATACCTTATACCTTGTTTTTGTGTTACTATGGATACCTTATACCTAGTTTACATGTTACTAAGGATACCTTATACCTAGTTTACATGTTACTATGGATACCTTATATCCAGTTTACATGTTACTATAGATACCTTGTACTTAGTTTACATGTTACTATGGATACCTTATACCTAGTTTAATGTTACCATGGATACCTTATACCTAGTTTACATGTTACTATGGATACCTTATACCTAGTTTAATGTTACTATGGATACCTTATACCTAGTTTAATGTTACTATGGATACCTTATACCTAGTTTACATGTTACTATGGATACCTTATACCTAGTTTAATGTTACTATGGATACCTTGTACTTAGTTTACATGTTACTATGGATACCTTATACCTAGTTTTCATGTTACTATGACTACCTGGTGTTTTGTTTGGATCCTCCTCGTCTTGGCTTACAGCTGACTGGTTTTTTTCCCCCTTCAGAGATTTCTCAACTTTCTTCCCCATCTTGATTTTGTTGGCAACACTACAATGATAAGTTCATAACCTGTATAGTAACTAAAAAAATAATTTCTACAAACACATGAAATATTTTCTACAGCTTCATGTTTATTTGTATGTTTCCAAAATAAATTTTATTTTTATTGCAAAAAAAGAGTTGTGTTGGTCTTTCAATTGTATGTTTCTGGAAAATAAAATAATGCAGTTCTCAAAGAATTAAATTTTCAATATTTTTCAATGGCTTGAAATGATTGCTCTAAAAAAAAAAAAGGTTTTCATGACTACATTTTTAGGCTATAAGGATTTTTTTAGCTAAAACATGTAAAATATGCGTTGAAATGTTTTTCTTTTATTATATTTGTTTCAAACACAAAGTCATAAAAATAGAATACATATCTGTAACTGTACATACAATTTATCCATGTCCCAACATACATGTAAATGTAATTATAAACAAGATTGATAAAAAGAGATTCCAGTGACTGATCTTACAATGGGTATTATTCTATTAAGTTACATGACTGTATGCAGATTCCAACACCTTATGTGCAGAAATGCATAAGAAATAAACATGAAAAATGTTCCTCCATTGACAGAAGAGTCATGTGTTATACAGAGAGAATCCCAAAAGAATAAATGTGATAAAAGTCTACAAAGGGAACTCGCTCGTGTTTTAGTCTAATTATCTTTTAAAAGTGAAACTACAAGCTTTACATTCTGTTCCTTAAAATAAATATATAACTGGTGCAAAATATTTTCTTATAGCCAATTTATCTGATAAAAGTTTCAACCATTGCTGTATTATTTCAAAAACAAAGCTCCTATATGATTTTGTTTCTTTTGACTTTAAATTTAGTTTCCTTTTCAGGATTTCCATAAGAATAAGAATATAAGGGGGTGCAAAAGTATAAAGGGACCTGAAGTTCTTCCCCTGGTGGGGAGTTTAGGAGGAATACCAAAAAACCCAGTGGATTATAGAGTTGGGTATTGCGAGTGAAAACCATATTGCGATATATTGCAATATTTGACGTTGAATATTGCAATATATTGCGATATATTGTAGATTAATTATCATTAATAAATTTGTGCAGAAAGTTTAAAATGCTGTCAAGTTCAAAGACTATTTGAATTTATCTATAAATTTTAAAGGGGGCGGGATAAGACATTAATTGCACACAGAATTATAATAACTTTTAATCAAATACCAGGTCAAACATTAAAACAAAATGTACTTATTTGATTTATTTTCAAATTGAAAAAAAAATTTATGCATAGTATATTCTTTTTACGTTTTTTTTTTTTTTTTTTTTTTTTTTTTGGGGGGGGGGTGTTTTATTGAAATAGCATTAAATGTAACTAAATGATTAAAACAATACATACTATATGGAAATTTAAAGTGGTCACAGAATAAAATTCAATCCAGAAAGAAATTGTGACCTATTTTCGGGCGTTTGGTGTTTTAATCTGACCCGACCTAATTTCACATTATGACATACGATCAGGAACTGTATTGGCCTATTTCTATCGTTTTAATATACATGCTCCTGGTATAGCATGAAGGTGTTTAAAATGGCATGAAACTTGTTAAAAAATAATAAAAAGCAACACTGTATCAAGTGAAAACATGGATGGCCATTTATTTGTAATATCATTATTTATCTTGAACTTAACATTCATCGTCGATCGTGTAGATTCCATGAGATTTTGAGAACAGTACACATGGTATACACCCTGTAGAAATGTTTTATATTTCTTTCTTAATAATTTTATTTAAAAGTCTTTTTTATTAATTATTAATTTTATTTTAAAGTAAGCTTTTTAAAATTGCGACAGTGAATGAAAAGCTTCCTCTCTCTCTCTTCTCTCTATCTGCCTCTGAAAGCTGACGCAGTATTTTTTAAAACTAGATTGAAAAGGCCTGGGGAAGTTACAAGTATTAATTCAGCAGTTTCTAGAATAAAGGGTTTTTTTAAATATATATTTTCATAAATATCGTGAAAAACCGGTATCTGATTTTCATATCGCGATATATTATCGTGGTGGATAATACCGCAATATACCGATATACCGGTAATATTGCACACCCCTAGTGGATTACATCATTATAAGCGGGAAAATTCCCCAGCCTCTGTATCTTTAAAACCCTGAATTTACAGAAAAATTTTCCTACAAGATATTTAAAAGATTTATACTGTACCCTTACAATGTCAAGTTTATAATGAAAGATTAATAGTACAGCCCAAATCAGATTAATCCCAAGGTGACAGAAAGATACAAGAGAGTTAAAGAAAAACCAGAGAAATGTACAAAATCCCGGAACTGAGGGTACCTACCCCGAAACCTCTAAAGTTCGGTTAAACATGTTTGTTCTACAGTATCATAAATAAAATAATTAACTGTTAAATTCAGATTGTGAAAATATATTCTATTATTAGATACTAACATGACTAACGTTCATAGAATTGCTTGGCTATATGCAAGCACTAGGCCTAAATAAAACAAACATTTTGAGACATGTTACTGTAACTATAAACAAGTTACACTTTGAGTTTGAACAGGTTGGGACCACTTGCCTGAATGGGATATGATAGTCCGATTGGGAATTATTATCCAAAATGGGATATAAATTTACAGGGCAGAAAATGATAAATTTTATTTTGGCAATAAATATCATAAATCTGCATCATGCATGACAAGTGATCCAAACAGGGTTTGACATTAACGTTAGTCTGTTAGTCTCAGACTAATACATTTTCATTCGGACTATAAAAATTTGTGGCTAATTAGTACGAACGGACTAACAAAGTTTTCTTAAAAAAAAAATAAAAAATTTACTGATGTTCAATTATTGACAACTTTCACAGGAAAACCCCATATGTATTTTAAGCTTTCTAGCTTCTTGGCAGGAAGTTGGGTATTTCTCAGTCAATTCAGTGCTTAATTTTAGGACTCATTGGTTTGAAATGAAACATTTTAACAATCATGATTTAATTAGTACGACACATAAAGAAAGATGTGGGATGTTTGGATAATGTAATCATCTATAGAGAAAAACGAATGAGATCGGGAATATGATCGTAGTTCCTGATCACATGATTTCTTTTGAATCTTGGTATAAAACATTTCACGCAAATGCTTTGTTTATTTCAAAAAAGGTATAAAAAGTTACAATATTGCAATGTTGTCTTTATTCTACTTATTTATTGATATTCTTTGACGGACTCATGAAAATCGCCCTCGGACTAGTAAACGTAAAGAAGCACTAGTCCGGCTGGACCAAAGCCTAAAAATGATAGTGTCAAACCCTGTCCTATTGACTGAAGACTTAATTTTGTACATGTATCAAACTGCAAGTCCAAAATTAATGTCCATAAAAAACTGATCTGACAACTCTTAATAAATGAACTCGACCTTTGTGAAATTGCTGTAACCAATAATTAAGAACCAGAAACATGCCACATAACGCACGTTACTCTGAAGATCACGAACTCCGTGTGCAAAATTTATGATTGCAAAATATTTCTAGCATGTTTTTCAAACAACACATTAACTTTAATTAATGGACTTATGTATCATATTGAATAAAGTAAATAGCACTGAATTGAAGTTTCTCATATTTTTTTCATAAAATATATTTTTTTTCATAAAATATTAAAAATAATATTCTACAGAAGTTACCTCACAGTTCAGTGTTGACACGACCGAACAACAGCTAAAATATTTGGCGGATCAACTTCCACGAGAAAAGAATGTGCAAAGAGTCACTATGATTTCCTGTTTCAATTTCTTTCGCTATAACGTAAATTGATTAATTCTTATCAAATCGATTTTATGTGTATTCAAAATTATTCATTTTTCCACGTTGTATGCTGAATTAAGCAAATAATTATTAATCCGCGACAATGTATTTAATGGAGCATGCGTATGTACTATCCTCCAATAAACTTCCGCTTCCATTGACAACCCTCGGTACGAGTTACCTTTCTTTACTTGTGTACAGTTGTGTGCCAAAAGTGAAGATAATTTTATTTTTTCTTTATATATTTCATTGAAAACAATATTTTGTAAAATCGCTGGTATGACAACATTTCTTGACAGATTTTATAAAAAAGAAAATTCTTGATAATCCAAGAAATTGTTGTAGTTAAAAAAACAAACAATAGTTTTTATCTGATAAGCATTGATAATTTAAAAATATCGTAATTTAAGTGTGACATGAAATTTTAAGTCATATACTACAATGAATTATATAGAGTCTAGTCAACATTGATCTTGAATTTTAGAACTGATGTTTAGTGATGAACTATATTTTACTACATATTAAACGTGTAATGATCTTTTAAAGAAAGATAACTACACATTTTCTGGTTTAAGTACTGAAATAAATAATTAAATTGAACAAAAATTGACCATTTACCTATGATTTTACAAATTGTTGTTTTCAATGAAATATACAGAGAAAAAATAAAATTATGTTCACTTTTGGCACGCCACTGTATCGTGATGGAGGCCGGTTGAGATCCTCCACAAACTTAAAATGATTTCTTTTATTATTCAATAAGGAGCATTTTAATAGGAATAGATTTTAAACTTTCTTAATGCTTTGAGTTTATTTAAAATAATTAACATCATTGATCAAGATAAAAATTTTAGTGAAATTAAAATGTTTGAGTTAAAAAAAATTAAGGCATGTCATTAAATAAAATATGCGCGGATCTAGAAGATCGGGGCCCATCCTTCCCTCTCGGAATTTGCAGAGTTTCCACCCCCCTAGAAAACGTAGACCCTTCCTCGAAAACACGAATCTATGTCATCGGTATGAAACTGAAAATCAACAAACCCACCTCCCGAGATTGGTTTTTCACCTTATGGAAGAGTTTACCTAAAACCTTTTTTGTACATGTGTGTTTTTTTTCTTACAAAGATATTTCTGGGTTGGATTTTTTTTTTGCGTTGGATAGAATCCCCCGCCCCCGGAAAAAAAAATCCCGGACCCGCACCTGGAAAAAAGACAATTATAGCATAAATTTAAACTTTAAGATCGAAATTTTCTACTTCAGCTCTCAGTGTATTACTCATGCTTCATTACTCATGCGACATATTATACCTGTTCCTGAAACCTTTGTGTATCATTATATATTTTGTTTGTAAATTCCCCTTAAACAGTTAAATGATAGCAAAAGCAAATAAATTGAAAATAAATATTTTATTTATTTAAATTTTGACAATTTAAAAAATAATCAAATCAATCGAAAATTTTGCCAATATATGTTGTCTAAAGGAACAAACGAACAAAAGATCAATTACAAGAGGAAAGGGGGGGGGGCACAGCCGACACAGAAAAAGTCACCAGACGTTATTTTAATGTCTACATAAATACCGGTTTACTTTTATTGGTCATTTGTCTTTAAAAATAAAAACTTGAAACTTGTACATTTAGTTAATGTTAACAGTTTCTTTTGGCTTATTGTGAGAAAAGACAATTTAAGCTAGTAAAATATTAGGAAAATACAAAGATAAAGAAAGACACAGAAGAGAAAGAATATACGGTATAAAATATAAAAATTCCATAAAATGTACTGAACATAGACCAATATTATCTATCTTCATTTTACATGTTTTATATCAGCAAACAGGTATATTACATCACCACTTGCACGTTTTCATAAAGAAGCTCTCGTTATACTCTCCTTGTTATAATCTCGTTATAAAGTATTACCGAAGGGAAGATAGCGCTCGTTTGAATTCGGGCATTACTGATGATCCGTTACTTGTACCGGGGTTCTCCATCATGTAGACTAGTACTGACACAGTTAATGGTTACTAATAAAATAAAATATCAGTTAGTAATAACTGATATCCACAGTCAATGTAAGTAATAACTGATATCCACAATCAATGTAAGTAATAACTGATATCCACAATTAATGTAAGTAATAACTGATATCCACACTCAATATTGTCATTACTGACATCCACGATCAATTCATGGCAAGCAATAATTGATCTCCACATCAATGGAAAGAAATAAGTAACAAGTGATATCCACATCAGAGGAAAGTAACAAACAATATCCACAATCAGTAGAACGTAATAACTGATTTCCTAATCAATGGAGCTTTATAAGTGATATCCACACGAAAAGATTGAAGAAGTTACTGAAGAATGCGAAGATAAATCACACACATCTTAGTTTGTAGAAGCTAACACGATAAAAAGACAAGGTGAAACATCGTAACGTTTTAAATGGATAAAGATTTTGTCATTAAAGTGAAGTTAAAAGGATTTGCTGGCATTTTACTGAAAAGGCCACAGGTCCATAAACATAAATGTATAAAGAAAGGCAATTAAACGTATGTGCTCGGCACGACCAGGTATATTTAAAATAAATAAATAAAGTAAATTACACGTTTTAAATCTGTTTGACTTGGAATTAATTAAATATTTGGAGTTATTTTAACCGTAACATTTTTCATATGAAGTTTCATTTTAATACATAACAGGCATTGAATGTATTAAGGTGCACAGGCACCTGACAAAACGTGTTTTATATATAAATATATATATTTTTAAAAAAAGCAATAATACACTTGTGTGTAGGTAATTATTGAGTATAGAGCTTATAAGGTAATTACGTAGTAAATTATTTTATTTATATAAGAAAAATAAGTACATGTATCGCCAGGCCACCTTTCAAATAAATTATTTCTTTGCCATCTCCTGACTCGGGATAAAATAATCGGGTCAAAGGTAGGAAGTTGTGAAATTTTCAATATATATATAATTTGTTGACTGGATAAGAAGAGAAAAGGGGGAAAATAAATAAATCTCATCTCCTAGAATGTAAAATAGAAGTTTTGAGTCTGTCGGTCGGGAGAGGGCAACCAAACAATTTTTTTTAAAAGATGGCGTCAGGACTGGTGTATCTCCTTCCTCTTAAAAAATCTCTTAGAATGTGTTATTACAGAAAGAAGCATAAGTCACTTATGAATCTGACAATACCATTAGAACCGACTATACTATACTAATGCATTTCTTTTAATTGTTATAAAAAGCACTCCTCTCCCTCTGTTGAGTGTAAACCGTGGGTCCATCCACAAAAACAATGAAAACCTTACAGATGACACACTAGAGAAGCATAGAACTGAACTATTATTGATAGTTTATGCTTTGTTTTAGACTGGAACTTTTCAAAACTATTTTAATTTTGCAGTTTGTTGAGGGAAAAGGTATTTTTATTTGATATTTATTTTTTTATATGTATAATTCTTACTAGACTTATAATAGCTAATACAACTAATGTACAAAACAGTTTTTTTTCACAATGTTATCAAAGCGACCTTCCATTAAACTAGCACAGCATTGTTATCTTTCAGATTTTATACATGCACCTTCGAAGTTGTTATAAAGCATGGTTGACATTAAGAAGGACAATAAGAAAACTGTGGATTTGGTGCTGATCATTGGGTGTGTCATACTCAGTCTACAACAAGCAGTTGGTCATGACAAGGACCGCAGGTTACTGTTAAATGATCCCCATACTTTCCAGGTACAGTTAGAAGCAATGCAAAGAGAAATGCAGACTCTGAAAAGTCTGGTTAACACACAACAAACTCAGATCCAGGCGATGCAAATTCAACTGAACACAAAGGCTGAACAAGGTACCATGCTGTTATACGGTGAAATAAAATTAAATTTCATAGCTGTAATGATACATGTAATTACTTTCACAAATAACTCTTATCGATTTAAAATGCACACAACCTCAGCATTAACTTATTGTTTTCCAGGACCAGGGGCTATTTATACAATATGGGGAAAGAAAAGTTGTCCATCGAGAAACGGAACAGCAATGGTGTACACAGGTAAGTAGAACAGGGACAGAAGAGACCACGATCATTCAGACCCTCATTCTAAGTGTTTGATTCCGGAGAAAAAGCTTTGACCTTGACAGATACCTGTCTCTCTGTTTTTAAATTAGAAATAAAACAGAAAAAAGTAAAAAAAAAAAAGTTCTAGATACTACAAGAGTTCGCATACCTATAAATTTTACCAAAATTTGGAAAAAGATAAAACAACAATTCATCAAACCTTTAGAGGTTTAAGGGTTTAACGTATTTAAAATATACTATGAGTGACTCTTGTGATAGTATCAAACAATTTTTTAAGGGGAAGACATATTGATTGAATGTGTATATAAACTGATTTACTTTGAAAAAAATGTTCTAACATGTATATGATTCAATACATACTTATTAAAGTAACATTTTTCAATATTTTACTGAGCAGTCATAAAAACATCGATATTTGACCGCGGAGTAAGATGTTGGACCTGTCGAAGAGATGTTGGACCGCCTACGTCACGAGGTGGGCGTGGTCAGCTTCATTTTAGGAGTTTGAGTGTACTGCACAACGATATTTATATCGTGATATATCACAATAGTTTAATTTTACTTGTAACACGTCATTTGATTGGTTAAACGGTTGTATCCATTTTGTATAACATAACTTGCCTACGTCACAATGAGCTACGTCAAAAACGTATTACTCCGCTTGGCGATATTTGAAGCCTTTTTCTGAAGGATGAAATGGAAAAATTGTCTCATTGTCTACATTAAAATTAATGTCACAGGGTGAATTAAAATTAATTAATTAATAATTATCATTCGCATCATTTTCATATCTTATTATAAGGCATCATATTAGTATAGTAACTAGTGAATTCCGTTGTCACTGCGAAATTTACTACGTTCATTCACTGCCTTATTCATTCATTTATACGGGTGATGGTCAGAGAGAGTATCCGAGTGTTATAAGGATTGAAGCTTATTTCAACTTATGTTATACGATATAACATAACTTCGCGGTTCATAAAGCGTAAACTGTCCCAATATCGTAATATCGTATAACAAAAGTTTATATAAGCTTCATTCCTTAATTTATATAGAGAAAAAAGTGTAACAAAAGATTTATTTACTGTGTTCTCGAGCAGTAGACCCATCGAACTAAATTGTTTGCCCATGGCGTCAAGCACAAAATTCTTGATATTATAATTATATCAACAATTTTATATAACATGATTCTTTAACGAGCATTGCAGTTTTATTGTATTTATCATAACATTACACAATGAATCAATAAATTAGAATGATATTACAAGGATTTTTTATCTTATATCTAAGGTATAACGGGTGGTAAGTCTCATTACGAGCCAGGGGGCGGTGTGAATACTCTGTGTCTCCCTCATGACCCGGACAATGCGCCACATGACTTCCCTACAAGTCAGGAATCAGCAGCCCACTTGTTCGGCAGTGAGTACCAGTTCACGTACAGAAAGATTGCAAGGGATGACGACGTGCCATGTGCACTCTGCCGCGTGCAAAGCGCCGGCTCCATTTTAATGATTCCAGCGAAAACAACTTGTCCATCTGGATGGATCATGGAATACAATGGATATTTGATAACAGACAACTTTAGTAACGGATATCATGCAACAGATTTTGTTTGTCTTCACGGAGACCCTGAGTATTTGACTGAAGGGGCACGACAACATAACTTAGACGGACATATCCTTTTTCCGGTTACAGCGGTCTGCGGTTCTCTCCCTTGCCCTCCTTATAAACAAGGACAACATATAACATGTGTTGTCTGCTCGTTATAATAAAGCATATTTACTGAACTTCAGTCTATATTTTTATCTCTTAACAAAGTATCGAGCGCTATGACTGAAAGTAAGAAATAATGTAAATTAACCATAGCGAATTGTAGTTTATTTCGACCGAAACCTTGCATAGCATGCAGGCCCGAAGAAATCTATTTCAGTTTGGTGGGCAAAACAAAACAAATGCAAAAGAAGTTTCGAGACAGGTGAAAAAAAGTTATCAACTTTGTGTCCACCATCCCTATTCATACTCGTCTGCATGGTAACCATATCTTATATCCAATTTCAAGGAAGATTTTGCCCCCGAAAGATTTGTAGAACAGGCGTTTTAAGTTGAAAATTTGAATGATACATAGTTGTTTCGAAAGTTACCAGTGTGTGTAAATTATTTTTCTACATAAACCTTCTAGATAGGTTTCATTAGTTATTCCTTTGTTGAGGTAGGCTGACATAGCCAACTTCTGAACAGTATGAGTTAGCATTGTATACATTTCGTATTTACCTTCTTTAATACGGTAAGGTAAACACAAGACCTTCGTAAATTAACACATGACGCTTTTCAACTAAAGGTACTAAAGGAAGTATTCCCTATATCTGCTCCTTATCAGTCTTCAAGTACATGCACACATTAGTATTTCTAGTATTGTTTTAATATATTGCGTCTATGTTATGCATAAGATGGTCCAGAAAATCATCTCACTTCTCTTCTCACTTTGTACGGCACTTGGACGAGATGGAGCCATCGTAAGAGATGGAGAACAGGATCATGTACTGGATCGTCGCCTTCTGTTAAATGACCCCAGACAATTCTGAGTCAGTTAGAACACATGCAGAGAGAGATGAATTTGTTAAAATCCCAGGTCGATCCATTGCAGAGTAAGTTAGAATACAGGTCGATCCATTGCAGAGTAAGTTAGAATTTATAGACGAAAAGACAAAACCCTGATTTGTCGTTTTTATGATATATGAGTTTATAGATATGCATAATATTTCTTAGTTTTCATATCAAATGCTATTTATATTGTTTGCTATGAATTAATTAATCAGTTTTGTGCAGTGTTGTATTCTTTTTTTTCATTTTTTTACGAGATCCAGTCGCTTGAATCACTGGTGACAACACAACAGGCTAGTATCCAGTCTTTACAAAGTCAAATTATCGCAACTTTTAATCAAGGTGAATGTTTTAATACTTAGAGCATTATTCTGTTAGCTAACAAAAGAAACAAATTTTATGTGATTATTGATTGTATGTTGTATAACGTCCCTCTCGGAAAAAAATTCGCTCATATGGAGAAGCGACCACTTGCCATTGGAGGGCTGCAAATTTTGTCCTATACTCGTGACTCGAGGCCTTTGAGCATGGAGGGATATTTTTTGTGTCAGCACCTACAGAGACACAGGACCTCGATTTATACGGTCTCATCCGAAGGACTAGTCTCCACGCCTCGCAGTGGGATTCGAACCCGCGATGTAAGGAACAACTCCTTACTTCGCGACTCTAGAGCAGAAGCTCTACAACCACCGCGCCATGCAGCGACACTCTTGTTGAGAGGTGATCCCTATTGCCTGCCAATGGAAATAAAAGCATCTGATTTTGAGCAGATTCCTTTTACAGTAAATAACTAAACTATGTCTAATTTAGAAAGACTTTACCCCAGAGTAATTTACAATGTCTAATTCAGAAAGAGTTCGTTCCTACCCGAGTAATTTCAGTGTCTAATAACTTCAGAACAAGTTTATCAAGGAGTAATTTACAGTGTCTAATTTAGATAGAGTTTCCCCAAGAGTAAATTACAGTCACTGTGTTTAATTTATAAAGAGTTTCTCAAAGAGTAATTTACAGTGTCTAATTCAGGAATAGTCTCCCATTTACAATGTCTAATATCAGAAAGAATTTCCCCAATAGTAAGTAACAGCCTGTCATTTTGAGCAGGTGCCGGCTCTGTGTACACAGAGTGGGGAAGGAAATCCTGTCCGGTAGTAAATGGCACAACTTTAGTGTACACGGGTAAGTGTTGCTTGAATAACATAATTATAGCAAAGAAGTTTGGTGACATAGAAACGATATAAGCAGGTGATAGTGGAAAGTTACCACAAAAATAAGAAAAGTTAACGATGGAAAAGCTGAAGTCATCTCCTTATCACACAATTTAGTTGTTAATGGCCTTAAGAAAAAATCTAGATAGGAAACAGATGTCCCAAAGTCTGTTGTGTCTTTTATTTGAAGTTCACTGGGATCTGTCGAATGAAGATAACTATTGTTAATTGATAAAACATCGTTGATATATCTAAAATGTCAAAAGATGTGTTAACAAACTGATTTAATAATAATGCTGTATATTTTCTTGTCATTTTACGTGATACGCTGAAGGCATAACCAGTGGCAAAAGTAGTGGTGAGCAAGGAAATGGTGTAAACACGCTGTGTCTGCCACATGACCCGGATGATGCCCCTCGTGATTTCCCTACAAATTTGGTGGGGGCGGATTACACCGCCCATTTATACGGAAGTGAGTACGAATTCTACTACGGGAACATTGCCAAGGATGACGATATTCCCTGCGCAGTTTGCCATGTTCAACATACATCAGCGCTGATGATACCAGCAAAATCCACCTGCCCCAGTGGCTGGAATATTCAATATAGCGGATATACTTGATTTCCGACTTTTATAATGGAGGTCACTATGCTTTTGAGTATATTTGTCTCCACTTAGATCCGGAGTATCTGACAGAGGGCGCGAGACAGTTTGACAGAGATGGCCATGTTATTTATCCAGTTACAGCAGTTTGCGGTTCTCTCCCTTGTCCCCCTTATAAACAAGGACAATATATAACATGTGTTGTTTGTTCGTCATAATAAAGCTTTTTTTACATAAGTTTAGTTTACATGACCTTGTAATGTATATCTCTTAACAATGTTTCAAATGGTATATCTATATGAATGAAAGTAAAAAATAATGTATGTTTAATTAAACATAGACAATTGCAGTTTATTTTGACAGAAACCTTAAATAGCAGGCCCAAGAAAGCTATTTCAGTTTGATGGGCAGAACAACAGAAAGTCCATGACAGGTGGAAAAGGAATTAGACACCTTGTGTCCACCATCCCAAATCATACTCATCTGCATGGTACATGTAACCATAAAATTATTCTATCCAGTTCCAAGGAAGATTTTGCCCGCGAAAGATTTGTTGAGCAGGCGTGCTTTAGTTGAACGTTTGAATGATACATAGTTACATGTATTACGAAAGTGAGTAAATGAATTTTCTATATATCAGACCAACTGCATCTAAATAAGCTTCATATTAGTTATTCCTTTGTTGAGTTAGACTGACATGGCCAATTACTGCAGCCTGCACAGTGTGAACATTGTATTTTTCGTATTTACCTTCATCAACAAGATAAAAGACCAGGTAAACACAAAGCCTTCTTCAGTTAACACCTGACACTCTTTGACTAAGATAAAGTATTAGACATTTTCCCTCTCTTCTTATCTATTTACAAGTACATAAAGTAGTATATGTTATAACGTCTATGTTGTGGAGAAGGTGGACCAGAAAATCATTTTACTTCTCTTACTTCTTACGGTATTTGGACTAGATGGTATTATCACAATGGACAAAGAACGGGCTCATGATCTGGATCGCCGCCTATTGTTAAATGACCCCCAGACAATTCTGACTCAGTTAGAACAAATGCAGAGAGAGATGAATTCGTTAAAATCCCAAGTCGATCCACTGCAGAGTAAGTTATAAAAATTCGATTTTTCTTTTTTAAAATAAAACAAATATATAGATATTGCATTCTTTTTTTTTTTTAGTTATAATATAGATTCATTTTTTTTTAAACACATTATTCAAATTTAAGAGCATGTATATATAATATACATTTTTCCAATGGTTGTGAGTGGGATAGCTCTTTTATCAAACCCGCGACAGGGAACTATTCCCCGAGGGCTTGATGAAACAGCTATCCCACTCAAAACCAGTGGATAAATGTTTTATTATACTGATGTATAATACAATTTTTTTAGATTTAAAGTTTTTGAGTATGATAATACTACAAGAATAATCTGACATCAAGATGACGTTACAATGCTACTGGAGTCATTATGACATCATCAGTCAATAGATTTATCGCTGGTGACAAAACTTGCATGAAAATTTTCCGAGGGTGGATAGCAAAAACTATACCCCTGGGTATAGCTTTGCTATGCGGGGACTATCAAAGTTAGCTATTTTACCTTCTTAATTTTAACAGAAGTATAATAAACATAAATATATACCTTTCAACTTACATTTTCAAGATATTCCTTATTAAATGCGAGATATATTACTGAGGTAATAAAAACATTGTGCTATTTTAATATTATACCTTCTTAATTTTATAAAGGGTTTGAAACATTTTATTATACATGTAATATAATTTTTGAGGTTTGAATTTTTTTGGAAATATATACCTTTCAACTTACAATTTTCATTATGGCATCATTCCTTATTAAATCAAAATTGGCGGCAAAAATTACAAGAAAATTTTCCGATATATTAAAAACTATACCCCGGGGTATAGCTCTGCTATGGTACTATAAAAACATTTTACCTAACTTTAGATAAGAAACATTTTAACAGAAGTATAATAAATGTTTTTATCCTGTATTTTCTTACAAATTGAATTAGAAGTGGTCCATAGAATTATATGAGAAATTATATCAGTTTCAATACTGACCAACAAATATTAGAACTTATAGTATACATATACAAATACCCCGGTAATGTAATGGAATAAATTAATAAGGTTCAAAACTGCATTCCGTATGTCATTCTGTTACATGTGATTTGTAAGGTAATGATTGACATCCTTTTTCAGCGGTATTTTTTTTAAAATATTTTTTATGAACCCTAGATAAGATACAAAGTCTGGAATCATTAGTATCAACACAACAGACCAATATCCAGTCTCTACAAAGTCAAGTAAACAAATCTCCTGACCAAGGTATGACGTCACTGATCATTAATGACTAATACTTCAATTAATATAACAACTTATCAATATCTTTAACACGAGTCTGAACAATGTAAAAATATTTAAAATATTCATCTATTTGAATTGCCATTTAAAGAATCACTTGTGCTCAAAAAGTTAAACATACTTTTTAAAAATATTTATAATGTTTGAAGTAAATTCTTTGCCTAAATGCATATGAATCTTTCAAAACTTCATTTTGATTAATCTGGTTAGTTGTGAAAGGCAATATTGAAATGTTTTCTTTCAATTTTTTGCTTAATATTGGAGGTATGTTGGACTACTATGATTCTAAAGAATAAACCCTATGTAAGAAAGTATGTTTCTCAAACCCACTGTAAAAAATTTATTACAGTGTATAAAGTTTTTTTTTATTTCAAAAGAATCCATGACAACATACACGGTTTGGGGAAGAAAGAATTGCCCGCAAATAAACGGAACAACCACGGTTTATTCAGGTAAGGGTTGTTGGTTTTGCTTTGTTTTGATTTAAATTGCAAAGTATACTTTAAATGTGTTCTTGGAAATCAAGACGGTGCAAAGACAACCTTTTTTTAATTTTTAAACTCCTGCAGAAAAGCCAAGCCAGAAGCAAGTTCGTCAATCATTTTAAAAATGCTTAATACATGTACCCAATCTTCAATTTTTTTTAATTGTTAGATTTAGTGAATCCTGAAGATTGTATATCTACATGTAATCTTTTTACATAGTGGTTATGATCTTGATTTTATCACAAGACTTAGCATAGTGTATGTTTATGGACATATTTTTTTCAAATACATTGTAACTATTCGTACTAAAGACATTTCAATACATTAATTTTGTTATCTTGGAAGCAACCTTTTCTTGAAATCTATCCATTCAGTTTATAGATTAGGAAAAATATTACAACAGGTATATATGTGGGTTCTTGTTTAAAATTAATGAGTTACTTATCACTTTCAGCTCTTTCGAATTAGATTACCCTACGTTTTGCAATTTTCACTTATTTGAATGGTAAATATAACGTCTTTTTCATCAATATTTTAAAAGTTATATATTTTATGTCAATTCTAGGAATAAGTGCGGGTGCACAATACAACCATGGAGGTGGGGGATCAAATACGCTGTGCCTTACACATAATCCTGATCACGCACCCTCTAATTTTCCTACTAGCAAGGAAGGATATGCACAATTATTTGGAAGCGAATACCAGTTCACATATAAGAACTATGCTCTAGATGATGACGTGCCTTGTGCAGTATGTCTTGTGGATCATTCCAGTGTTATTCTAATGATTGCATCTAAAACAACATGTCCCAGTGGCTGGAACGTGCAATATCGCGGGTTTTTGACGTCACAGAGCACCACGGATGGAAGATCACCATCAGAGTATTTATGTCTCCATGACAACGCAGAATACTTGACAGAAGGGGCTCGGCAGCATAATCTGAATGGCCGCTTATTTTACCCAGTGATGGCTATATGTGGCTCACTGCCTTGTCCTCCTTACACTAATTCACAGTATATTACATGTGTTGTATGTTCCAAGTAGATTTATAACCAATGAAATTTCAAGTATTTGGACTTTCAGTAAGGTGTGGCATGAGGTACACACTGTTTACCGCCTGGCACACACCTTGGTTAAGAAATTAATAACATCAGGAACTTTAAATTTTTGTTGACCTTCTTTCAACCTCTTTGCACAAACAATGTAATTTTCTATACACTAATTGGCATTTGCAATATTACATGAAATTTCAACAGTGAAGAAAAGCTGTGTAAATTTCAGAAGCTAATTATGTAACGTCGAGAATGCCGCGCCTTACTGAAAATCCAAACTAAGCTTGAAATGGTCCTACATGTAAATAAAAAGTTTCAAAGATTCATAGGTACATGAGGTATATACAGACCACACACCTTACACCACACTCGCTGAATATTAAGTCTTTCCAATGCATCATACAATGTAAAAATATTTCAACAATATTACACGAAATTTAATATAACGAAAAATTCAGATCAATGATTGGTAATAGCCTGTTTTAAAGGAATCAGTTTGTTGGAACCAAAAAAACACATGACAAAATAACTTGAATTCAAGACGACACACTTTTATCTTTAATCGTTTTCCAGTTTGCAAAATGGAACATCTCTTGACCAACAGTTTTTTTCGAAGTAGCTGTTAAATTTCAAAGCTGTAGTTCACAGGTCGAAAAGAAAACGGGAGGGAAATGAAGACTAAATCATAATTTGTTTCATACCACTCCTTGCAGTTATCTTCAAAGCTGCAGAGTATTCTATTTAAAATATACATGCTGAATTAGGAATTACATTCCTTAGCGAGTAATGGTTACTCTTTGAAACTTAAAGTATTTTGTTATTCGAGGTATATTTCAACACTTCAATCCTTTTGAGCAAAGTGGGGAATTTTGCTACAAGAAAAGGACGAACACGACATTTTGAAAGGTATCAACCCAAAGACCACAAGAACGGACATGCCAAACTTTGGATGACAATGAGTTTTTGAATAACGACGTATAGCCATCACAAATCAGGGGCCAAAAGGGCCCGGGCTTTAACCTGTCTTGTCCTTTTGCTTAGTTCTAGATATCTGTTCTAGGTCTTGGTTTAGGGACCAAATCCTCTTCAAAATATACCTTATTAAACAGTATAACATATATTACAAAGCTTGTGGGATAAATTGTTAATTTGATAATTATGATGTTGATGTTTTCCTGCATGAAAATTTTGTGTCATCTAACAAAATTTTAAATATTGTAAACATTGCAACTCCATGATAAGACACTCTAACCTACGAGGGACTGTTCAATAAATAATGTCCTGAGCTCTGTGACATACAAAATAGATATCATATGGATTGAATTTTGACTTTCTCTCATAATTGAATCTTTAATGAATTGATTACAGTTTATTTGACCACTTTTCACCAAATAGTTTAATTGTGAGAAGCTGGAAAACAAGGGCTATTCGACACATTGGACTAAAAATGAATGTTAAAAATCAGTATACTAGAGTGAAGCTAAACGCTTTATGAAAGCTGCCATTATCCCAAAGACATATTTACTAAAGTATATGAAATTGACAGCAATCAATATCTGTTATATAAACATATGAACAGGTGGATTTAAATGAACAGAATTGATATAATGGGCATAAAAAATTGGGTACCGTCGTAGGCGACAAAGAGTTACAACAACCAATATAATGTTTGCCAAAATTCAACAAATATCACTGATGATGATTGATTAACTTTAAGACACATAGCCTGGACATTGATAGGCATCATTTGGGGGTAGTTTACACCGTTTTATGGAAACATTTGAAAGTAGAAACGCATAGTACTTAGTATTTAATTGTCACCCTATGTTTTGAAAAATGAGTGAGGACGACTGTGTGTAAAAATATATTAATACATGTATAAAAATAAATAGAAACAACTATTTTAAAAAAATCAAAAATTGTAGTTATCCACGTTTGTTTGAATTTCGAAATTCAAGTAGATAGTGAAACTTGAATCCATTGCTTTGAACTATCAAAACAAATTAATCAATAAGGTTCACTTGACAAAACAGATAAAGTCTGAAAAGAGCAAAGAATTGCAAAATCACAAAAACAGTTTTATAAGCCATTTTCTTAAGTATAAGTGGTCTTGTTGTTCAAATCCTTATTCGGAGAGTCAGCTCAATTTATGGAGATGTCTAGAAAGAAATTTTTTCCAAAACAATCGAAAGGTTTATGAGAGGTTTATTACAGCGTCCAAACCAACTGGCCATAAGAGAAAGGGAGTTGTATGGATAAACAGAAAGTTAATATCTTGTCATTCCAAAATATTCACCAAGAACTTTCAGCCTTTGACTTGTTTCATTTTCCGAAGTTGGAAAAACACCTTTCAGAAAGAAGAAATAGGCCCAAGAAGTAAATAGGATCTGTTATATTCCAGTATATGAAGGACCATACTCAAAAATGTGTTCTAAAATACAATATCATATTGGATAAAAATGTAACGAATATGTATTTAATTTAAAGAGAATATTTAAGTGAAATCATTGAAAAATGTTTATTGTTTCTTTCCGAGCATTATAAGGAAACCTTTGAAATCTTGAGGGTCAGATTATGGAGTATGTACAGTGTACTTATTAGTAAATCCTTATCAATGATAAAATCACTCTTACCAGGAGCTCTTAACGGAGACAAAATGTCGGTATTATTGTTATACATCCTATGGATAAATCTTGCTACATTTGGGTGGGCGGGGCATGACAACAAAGATAAGCGTCTATTGTTAAGTGATCCACAAATGATGCAGGTACAGCTGCAGGAAATGCAGAGGAGGATCCAGGCGCTTGAGGCGCAGACTAGTGTCAGAGGGTCAGGAAATGGTGAGTACTGTATATCAGTGGTGGATCCAGGCTCTTGAGGCACACACTAGTGTCAGAGGGTCATCAGGTAATGGTGAGTACTGTATATCAGGGGAGGATCCAGACTAGTGTCAGAGGGTCATCAGCTAATAGTGAGTACTGTATATCAGGGGAGGATCCAGACTAGTGTCAGAGGGTCATCAGGTAATGGTGAGTACTGTATATCAGGGGTGGATCCAGGCTCTTGAGGCACAGACTAGTGTCAAAGGGTCATCAGGTAATGATGAGTACTGTATATCTGGGGAGGATCCTGGCGCTTGAGGCGCAGACTAGTGTCAGGTCATCAGGTTATGGTAAGTACTGTACATTATCAAAAGATAAGGTAAACAATGTTTTAAAAAGCTCAATGTCCCTTCAATTGTCCCCCGCTTTCGCGAAAGCGATGGGACATTAAATCTCAGAGGGTTATCAGGTAAAAAACTTTATTGCCCATAACTTTTGATTTAGTGGAGCTATGATTTTCATATTTCACATGTGTATTCCTTGTGACAAGACCTTTCTTTGGGTATCACCAAATTTAACCTTTTGACCTTGACCTTGGAGTTTGACCCACTTTTACACAAAAATTTCAAACTTTTACTTTGGCCATAACTTTTGAATAGTAGGAACTAGGATTTTCATATTTCACATATGTATTGTTTGTGGCAAAAGATTTCAGGATACCAACAACCTGTTTTAAAAAGTTCAATGTCCCTTTAATTTTTCACTGTTTAATATTTACATTCAGTGTAATTTTCTTTTACCCTTTGAAATCCACCTTGATGTTTTAAATTACTTTTTAACAACTTTAACCTTGTCACCGCTTTTAAACAGTACACAGTAGGGACTATATTTCACTTTATTCAATACATTTCATTGGATATCAACAAAATGTATATTGATTTGACTCAATTTCATTTAAAAAATCTACCCTTTTAAAATTAACATAAAATCACAACAAATGTGCACTAAAATTTAATTTGTCATTTCTTGGATACCACACAACTTTTATTTGCGTTATTTAACTTTCCTATGTCACAAACGGCTTTCCAACGTCACGAACGGCTATTATATTTCAAATATGTTTGTTTGTGGCAAGCACACCAATATCAACAACGCTAAATTCACATTAAACATGAACGAAAAAACAATTATGATAAATTTTGAAAATTGGAGAATGTTCAATATAATCCTTGTGAGAAAACATTTCATTGGATATCAACAATTTTGACCCTTTGATGTTGACCTTGGAGTTGACCTACTTTTAAAAAACTTTTTACTTTGGCCATTACTTTTTAACGGTCAGGATTAGGGTTTTCATCCTTAAAAAAATCAACTTCAGTGTTACATATGATAGGATATTCATATTACACATAATATGTCATAAAAGATAACATCTCACCCACAAAGACACCGAAAGCGGGGGACCACAATTCTTTGAATTTGCTTGTTTTTCACCGTTTATTGAATGTTTCAGGGGCGGTATATACAATCTGGGGAAGAGCATCATGTCCTGCTGTCAACGGCACGGCGACACTTTATTCAGGTACAGTCTTATATGCAGATTAAAGCTGAACACGACTTGTTTCAAAGCGGGAAACAAAACTCGAATAAGTATTTTAGATACTGGATTGATTGATTGATTTTATATTGTTTAACGACCCTCTCGAGAATTTTCCACTCATATAGAGACGCCACCACCTGCCGGTGTAGAGCTGCAAATTTTGTCCTATACTCGCCACTCAGGGCCACTGAGCAGGGAAGGATCTTGTTCGTGCCAGCACCTATTGCGACAATGGACCTATAGGTTTATACGGTCTCGCCCGAAGGACCGGTCTCCACATCCCACAGTGAAATCCGAGCACGCTATGTAAGGATCAAATCTTTACTTCGCGACTCCAGAGCAGACGCTCTAACCACTGCGCCACGCGGGCGACGTTTAGATATTGGAAGATACTGGAAGGCAGATCCTAAAAGCGAAGTCCACGTTTATGCACATTGTTGATCTGCGCCCCAGATCCATCTCCATGATGATATTTTATGCTATATTTACGTTTGATGTGTTTCAGGAATAACAGGGGGTGGTATGTACAACCAGGGAAGTGGCGTCACAACTCTGTGTCTCCCTCACAACCCCGACTCACTTCCAGCTGATTTTCCCGCCCTAACTGACGATCACCCAGGACCAGCCTATATATTCGGGGCTGAGTACCAGTTAAACTACAAGAACGTGGCATATGATGATGATGTACCATGCGCAGTTTGTCATGCGCAAACGTCTACTTCCGCATTAATGATACCCGCCAAACTTGTGTGCCCGCAAACTTGGAAATTACAGTACAGTGGGTTTCTGAGTGCAGAGAGGTCAGACTATAAGGGGTCAGATTATATTTGTGTTGACCTAAATCCGGAATATTTGGAGGGAACTCGGGCTGTTAATGCCGATGGAAGGCTGATTTTTCCCGTACAAGCGAGATGTGGTTCTTTACCGTGCCCGCCATACAAGGAGAAACAATATGTTTCCTGCGTAGTTTGTGCTAATTAACTTTCAACTACATGGTTAATTCTAAACCTTTTTTGTATTTCTTCAAAATGGATGAATTTCTCCAAAAACTTAACTATACAAGTATGATTAAACAGTTTAAAGGTTGTTGTTAATTTTGATGTTTAAGTGGTGAATCTCAAACGACCCCCGTGAAAACTGACCAGGGGTCATTGTTGACCCCTTTATATAGTGCACGTTTCTCATGTAACATCAGAAAACATTTGAATAAAAGGAAAATACAAAATAAGGAAATTAAAAGTATTTAAGTCTAAAGGTTCATAAACCCTCTGCTCATTCATATAAAATGGTGCTTGAACCTTAATGATTTTCAAAAGAAGTGTATTTTATAAGTAAAATACAAAAAATTATAGAATAGCTTGCAGGTCAAAATTGGACAAAAAAGACACTTCAATTTGGCAAATCTGTTATAATAGACTCATTAAGATTTATCTCTCTTATCAGAGTATTAATGTACCTTAAAAAGATATTGATTGATAAGCTCAAAATAAAATTTCAAACAATTTTAAAAATTAACATTTTTTAATCATCGCAAAAGTTTACATGATCATTATTGTGAATAGAATTTTGCCCCAAGGAAGAGAAACATGCAAAGACATTAAAACATAATACCTAAATATTCACTCAATACATTGTATGTTTGCATATGGTATATTTATTTCGAGATAAAATATTCAAATAATTATTTTTTTTTAAAAAATGCATCTAATTCGTCATATTATTATCACCTTATTTGTATAGAGATTTTCTCTTACCTGTAAAACGTGGGACGAGATGTTGACATGATACATGAATTAATTTATAATCTCTGAGACATCATGATTTATCTACCGGTATATCTTGTGCAAGTTGCAAGAACATCAACAGTGAGCGTATGTACCTGATATACATTTGCCGGGTGTTAATTAATTAATCCCTGTTAAGTAGTATTCAGACGTAATCTCATTTCAAATAAAAATTTTAAATGTCTAAAAGTGACACTTTTAAGGGGCGATTTGACGTTAAGTATTTAAGTTTAACATGTAAAGTCTAAACTCAAAACAATGTCAAAATCTGCACAATTTGCCAAGTCGATGCGCTTTTCCTTTTCAATTTCTGTTTTTTCTTCCTATTGGCATGCAGGCTTAGAGCGTTTTCCAGATAAGCAGTAAATCAGAAAGTTCGCTTAGTTGACCATTAATATTGAAATGAAAAAGTCGAAACGATTTGAAAGATTTAGGAATCCAATATCATGTGCCTTTTCATTTTCATTTCATTTTTTTTTATATATTTTAAATTATTAAGTTATTGCAGATAATTTTTAATGAATGTGTTTAGTTTGTTATAAATTAATTATGTTTAGTTTGATTCAAATTGTGTTTCATCTGATTTGTTTCAAATTGTCTGTAGCTTTCTTTTTAAGACTTTTAGAGGAGTTTTATTATTTTGTAAATATTTTGTTGAAGAATTATAGTGCAAGATATTATAAATTTTTACAACGTAGATTTCCATATGCATCACTGAATATTTACATTTCCAATGTCTTTGTCCGAGATAAAATTACCAAATGTAAATGTACTTTATTTCTCCATCAATGTATTTCTCCTTCCAAAAAAACACACGTGCATGGCGGGACATAACCTAGTGGATTCAGAAGCAGGACTTGGAGCACGTGGACCCTTGTCAAATCAAAGATCGTAAAATCAAGAACTAGTAATTGATTAAATACATCGTATTAATAAGCTCTATTCTTTTTTCAGAGAGCTTTTGAAAATAAGGCCAGAAGCGTTTATGCAATATCTTATGTTTTTCTTTTCTTTCTTTTTTTTTGGGGGGGGGGGGTCTCTTCGTTTTAAATAGATACAACAAATTAATCACAGTTATCTGTCATTGTGGGTGTGTGTGTGTGTTTTTTTTTACAAATTTTAAAAATCATTAGTTTTACACAAAAACTGTATAATATTTGTATATCCTTCCAGTAATTTTCTGTATATATAAACTATACTCTGTAGCAAGTTTTGTTAAAATGTACACCTTCATTGTACCTATATAGTTTTCTGGTGAATGATATCTTAAGTACAACAGAATAAATGTTAAGCTGTATTACAACCAAAGTTATTTTAATCGGTAAATCGTATTATTTCACCTTGCATTTGCATATAATCAAATGTTAGATTAGACTGAATTGCTAAAAATGCATAGGTTTTGGATTTATTTTACGTCATCTTGAATTTTAAGCAAAGGAAGAACGTAAGGGTATTGATGAAAAGTTAATTTTATCAAAAAGTACATTTACTAGTATATAAATTTTACACAATGTATTGTCTATTTAACTTGCCTATTGGATATCTCTCAGTATTATTTATGCAGTAAAGTAGAAAACTTTCCGTTACTGATGCTTCCATTCTGTATGTAAAATTTGTATTCAGCACCCCCCCCCTTTTTCATACATTTTTACACACACACTGTTTAAGCATAGATTTTTTTTTAATTTTTTTTACATTTTTAAATTAAGACATGTGCAATGATCGATCATCAAGTTTTGAGGTGTCTAATCCCTTTGAGGTGTCTAATCCCTTTGAACATGTATTTGCAAATTAGTACTTACTTAAAGAATGAGCCCTTTGCCTTGGACATCACAAAAACTCAGTTGGACCTTATGTGAAAATTTAAAAAAAAAAATGGTCGTAATCTGTCAAATTAAATCCTTTGCATCAAGTGTCAGATAGTTCAGATCCTTATTTTTTATATGAGATCAAAGTGCACGATCCTTAGAATTTCAACTCCTCAAAAACAACATTAATTTTCATCCCAAATTTTAGCTCAAGACAAAAGGTCAATATTCACAAGCGGTTCCAGACTTTTTGTTCAAAATTCAATCGAGCGTTATAAAATATAACACTTTTGTATATTCCTCTGTGATATGTGCATAAAGTTGTAATGCGGTAAATGCATAAACAAACACAAGTTCCCGTAATTTTAGGTTCAGTCGAGTATTGGATTAATCTGTCAGGTTACACATGTAGCTTGTGTGCTGATTTGGGATTAACTTCATTAAGAACGTGTCAGGTATCATATTATAAACGTGTTACTCGATCATCTGCTGGGTTTTAATTATATCATAAAATTTGATCAAGTCCTCAAAATTATCGATCTGCCCCATCAATGGACATGGAATGTTTAAATATTACGCATCACGTGCACGCTTTCAGTCATTGTCAATTAAATGTCATTAAAATAATGCTATCTGTTGCTGTTATCAAAGCGCTCGTGTGATCATGGTGATACGAGGTCCAATTGCCGCCATGACGTGATCTCAAGTGAGGTGCAAAATTATACAAAGATCAAACAAACAAGGACATATGATAATATCGTGCTGTCTGAGAGCTTACAATTATGTGTAAAGACGACATGAAATATAACTGTATAGTTGTTTAAAACAAATTATTAAAGATGTGATAATTTGGATTCTGACATTACCGTAATGAAAGTTTTAACTAGTTGTTTTAAACAATTTGATTAAAAATATTTAATAAAATTATTAAAAATATTGTTTATAATCATAAAATAATTTTTTTTTTATAAATAATTGGGTAAATATTTCATCCAATCCTGATTGACAGACTCTGGCATTACTGAAGTGCGGAGAAATCTTATGTAGGCATAGTCTAAAACAAAGACATATCAACAATTTTACTTTCTGTTTTTAAACACATTTGTTGTACATTTTAAAATGCCGCGTATATTTATACATTACCTATGGAAGTTTTTTCAAAAATTTGATGAAATATTGATTCATAAAAGCACAGAACCGTACGACAATTTTGTCCATGAGGCTAAGATAAAGCGCGTTTTTACAATGTGCCAAGCATTTTCCCGCCACATCTCAACACTGAAAGAGAAGAAATGTATGGTGGATCAGAGGGGGGGTTGTTAAAATCCTCTAAGAGAGTCCCACATATTTCATATTTGTTCCGTTTAAATTAAAGTAAAACTATAGCTATGAGTCTAAACTTAAGTGTACTTTTATGTAATAATTACTTAAACATCAAACTTCCACCAGAGTTAAAACTGCGACAGAGATGCAGATGTCTATGGGCAGTTTGCTTTACCTTACACATATAATATTTTGCATTATGCATGAAGAAAATCGGCAATGTCGCATGCAAGTATTTCATGTCACTATATTTTAACAGATAAATTTTTACATCACGCAAATTTCAGTTTCGAATTACTTCTATCAAAGGAAGAATTAATTGGTTTGCGGCCGATTTTTGACGCTTGCGACAATATGTTTCTTGTGTATGAAACATATGGACATAACGAACAGTATTCAAGATCAAAAGTCCATTAAACAATACAAAATATGAGCAAAGCAATACGAACCTCCGAAATATCAGAGGTGGGATCAGGTGCCATAGCTACATACCTTTTACATTAAATACAGGTTCTGCTTCATTTTTTGCCTGTCTACTCACTTTCTAAATTTCATTTCTAGTATGCCCCCATAATTCATGGCGAGACATCATTGAATGTGTACCATCATAACATACATCACTGATGTACAAACATTTTTAAAACAGACCTTAAATTTTTTGAAACATTCGATAGGCAGCATCGCCGATCATTTTTAAAAGGTAGCTGGAATTATTTTTAAAGCGGCTGGGACCAATCAGAAAAATAATTGACATGCTACATGTACCTGAAAAGACACACAGTGGAAGACCCGTACCTTCGTAAAGAACAAGCTTGATTCAGAAAAGGAAAATCATGCACAGACCAGATATGTTTTTGTTGAGACAAATTTTAGCAGAGGTTTAGAGAAATGAATGGAACACCACGCTGTATGCCAGTTTCATCGAATTTTGACAAAACATTCGACAGTGTACATTTTCCTGCTTTATGGAAGATTCTTAATCATTATGCCATCCCTAACAAGAACATCATATATATGCTTTACAAGAGCTTTCAATTAAAGGTGATTTAGAAGTGACAGACACATTCCCAATCCAGACGGGGTACGACAGGGATGTATGTTTTCACCGTTTCTCTTTGCCTTCTGTATAGACTGGCTTGTGAGTCTAATTCTATAGTCACTAGAAGATCTTGACTTAGCAGGTGACATCACTTTACTATCACATTTCTCTTGTCCTGCCTTCTGTATATATCAAAGTATAGACTGGCTTGTGGGTTTCACAAATGTGATTTTTTTTTTATTTTAATAACAACTTTATTTTTTCATTAACATACTAAAAACAAAACTATAAGAATATACTTCACTTTTTCAGATTTGACATCACTTTACTAACTCACAATTTCATCAGGTACGAACTAATAATTTTTCGATAAAAGGATATGCACACAGTCAAAACTGTCTATGTGTTATTTGCAGTTAATATTTTCTTTTAAATTATCAAAATACTTTATTAGTTGTCAAAGGTTCATATCAATTTCTTCAGATACAATTTTATGTTTTGGACGAGATATAAGTTATAAGTATATGTAAAAAATAGAAAGTTAATAAATATAAAGATAGATAAGGAACTTAAAGCAATCAGCAACAGAATAGAAGAAGTATACAGTTTTATATATTTTGGCAGCAAGATCACAGCCATTTAAAATTGGTCATTGACGTACGTTGAAAAAACTTTTGGCACACAAAATCTGAACCCAGGAGCTGGATTTTTGTCTGTCCGATGATATTTGCTGTACAGTGACTTAAGCCCATCCCTGATCTTTATTTGTTTTGAATATCCTTAGGGTTCTAACAATTTGGTTCTGTAAAAATGAAGATTTTCAGATGTTCTATAGGTTTGAAAACGTGGAAGGACATTTACTTACTATTCTATATGTAAAAAGAGGACTAAGTAATTTAGTAAGAATCCGTGTTTTATATGCTTTAATCGAAAAGGGGGATTGCAGTGGCGCATCTAGGAATATGGGCCAAATCCAAATTAATAATTAATCAAATCTTATGTATATATTGGAGACAAAGGGGGACCCTCCTCCCTCTCCTAATTCCACCAGTAGATGGATCCACAATTCAGATGCATGTACATCCTAATGGCCCTTCAATGGACATTTTCATAAAATAAGATCAGCAATACTCAGACCCATAGGAAGCAATTTCATTTTGAGCGGAGGTGGGGGAGGGGGCAACCCTATATTTTCAACCGAACCCCCTCCCCTCCCCTGTTCCTACGGCCATGATACGTGTTTCGACCGCGAGCACCGTGATACATATGTACCACCGTATCCAGAATTTACAACTTAATTGATAGATAATTGCATTGGGAATTACATAAATATTTGTTGTACAATCAAAGGGAATGTCTGTTCCCTATTCACCGTCTTTATAAATGAACAAAATTCGACGTGGAAACCAGGATCCAATTCGTTTTATGTTTTATCGATATTTTCTCTCGTAAAAAGCTGCAATTTTACCTGTAAAATGCAAGTATTACTAAAACGTTTATTACATTTTAATAGTAGTAGATGTTCAATAAGTGGTGCAATCACACAATCATGGTAATTGCTTACTGTAAAAAGTGGTTCTCATAAAACAATGAAAAACAGGAACAGAAAATAATATGTCGATCTAAAGAAAATATAGTTTTATTTGAGTCTGGAAAGTAAAGTTCTGTATTAAAAAGAGGGACCAACTATTCTCAGTGTAACTCTCTCTCTCTCTCTCTCTCTCTCTCTCTCTCTCTCTCTTCATACACACAATGCGTCAAGTTTTATTAGTGGTAAATTTATTACACCTAATTTCTTGTAAACCAGATTATATATCTCTGTTTAAAACCCACGATTTTTAAAAAAAATATATTTTAAACGTATATCAAACGCTTTACCAATAATTTTACTGTAATTCATATAACTAGTTACTTATCTCCAGTAAAAACAATTGTCGTTCTATCCTTTGAAAAGTACAAATATCGTCATGGAGAAGATACATTGGTAGACTCACTATATCTAGTTTTGTTAGTCTTTTTTTTACTTTGGACCTTATAATTATATATTACAACGAAATGAAGGTAGACCTATAAGATATCATTCAATAATAAGTTATTGATCAATGTACATGCATTGATAATATTAGTTTTCGATCTGAAATTTGCAGATGGCTCATTGATATTTAAGATCTATTGGTAAGCCGATTAAATTAAAGTAAATGTTACTGAACATAGCGATTTCACGCAGTGAAAAAGTTTCATCAAAATCTTCATTTAATAAAAAGAAATCTGAAACTTTTAGAACTGCCTCAATGATTTCGTACATGGAAACTAATAACGCTTCAGCATATAACCCTTTTCAAAGGGATAAGTGTAAATTGAATGGCTTTTTTGCTTAAATCCCATTGTTTCCAATATTTTGAATGTTTAAAGGAAAAAAATGTTATGAAAAGACTTTAAAACAATTTGTTAACTATTCCAAAAAATTACGACTGTAACATAATTACAAAATGTACATGGTGAAACGATAGAGAAAATCACATACCTTAGAAAAGTCAATTTTTGTGTTGTCATTTTGCTTTAGTTTCTTTTGTTTTTTTTAAATCCAAAATCTCACAGAAATCTCTTGAAAATGCTCACTTGAGAAAATCTTACGAAAACGGTACGAAAATCCAGTTCTTAGAAATCAGGCGTCCAAGGATCACGACAACACTCGAGAAAAACCCCAGTGACAAATTCCTTCGAAATCTTCGCTGATTTAGGTACAAGCAATAAGAGATGTAATATTAAAGTTGAAACATTGGGTTGGGGTATAGTTGTTATACCCAAATCCTTTAGAAATTTAAGAGATTTAAAGAATCAACCGAAAATTAAGATAAACAAATGTCTCCTTTCATTTCAGATAGAAATCAATCAATATTTAGAGTGGAGCGACCTGGTCAAACTTTTCCTGAGACACATGTTAAAGTTCTATCATCAATCAGGCTCTATGTCCAAAGCTGTCAACAATGTCTGTTTATTGTTTAAATGTCCAACGGCTTTTTAAAAAATCTTATTTTAGCTATACTCATGACATGTATGACTTGATGCAATTTTTATCATATATCTGAAAAACTTCTTTTTTTTTTCCTTTTTAATCTTTCGTTTTCTTCGGCTATATGTTTTTTTACTTATGCATTTATAAAGAACACGGGTAAGAGCCACGTGGTACTTGACTTTAGAAATTGCGAAAAATTAGGTAAAAGTTCAACATAAAAAAGAATGATATACGATTTAAGACCACCCTGCCCTATAGCATGTTCACTTATTGTTATGAGAGCGAGGATTTAAGGAAGTGATACAATAACAGGTTGATTTAGGAAGTGTTAAACCTCGTCATTGATATCCAGTGATCCGCTTATCTGGGACTTATCTGGTATTTAGTCTTATCTATTACAAATAGCGACAGGCGTATACTCACGAACAATTGAAATTTAATGAAAAGAAAATGTTTATATTGAAAGGACGTCCGTTGTCATTATTAAATTTCACAACCAAGTGAGAGAATTAATAAAATTAACTTAACATTAATTATGTTTTGAGGATAGAGTTACAATATAGGCACGTAGCAACGGGGCGGGGGGGGGGGGGGTTCCCCCCCCCCCCCCCCAGCCCCCACTTTTTTAAACAATACTTTACTTAATGTTCATTTAAAATCTGGTTGCCCCCCCCCCCCCAACTTTTTGTAATAAAATAAAATAATTGTAGGTTAAAAGATTGGTACTGAAAGAAGTTGGTATAAAAAAAAGTTGGCATCTAACCCCCCCCCCCTTCCCACGGAATAGGATTTTCTTCGACTGTGGAAAATTTCACCTCTTTTTTTCTTGTCAAACTCTTCAAATTAGTATAAAAAAAACTCCTTCTAGCTCCCACACACCCCTCCAAAAACGATACTACGTGGCTGCAATAAATTATTGGGGGCAAATCCAAATATTTTCAGTTTGGGGCAATATAAATTACCAAAAAATTCTTATGACAAGCATAAAAAAGGTGCACGTGTACGTAGTAGCAATGTTTTGTAAAGTATACTATATATAGGGGCAAAATCATGGGGTGGGGGGGGGGGGAGATATAGAAGATGATCTAATTTTAATTTTGTAACACTGACATATTGGCTATTAAAAGAGAATTTTATAAATTTTTTCCTTTACAAAAAAATTGACCGCTTAAAAAAAATAATTAGATTTAATTCATATTTAAATTTTTTTGCGCACCGAGTTCGATTGAAAAGTCACGCGCTCAATTTTATTAAATCGGGTTCGGCAGTCAAAAAATATATATTTCTGTCGTCTGCTTCGACTAACGAGAAGGTCACCCGTCACCGAACTGGAACAAATTGTATAGGCCTATATTGGTTCTATAAACAGGTAAAATTGCTCATAAAATCAAAAATATTTATTCGTTTATGTTACAATGCATGTTTAATAATATATGCACTTTATAAAAGTCGAAAATATATCAAGAGAATTCAAACTTACTTTTACAACATGCACCATATTTACAAATATTTAGATAATTTTTAAACTTTTTTTGGAAAAACATGTTGGCAAAACTGTTATTCAAACTATACTTTTATTAATTTATTGTTCAAATGCTAATGCATTATCAATAAATGATTTTGAAAATAATTTGAAAAAATATTTTGAGAATATAGTTTTTAAGGATATAATAAATATCAGAGAAAAACTTGTATTATCAAAAAATTATCAAAATTCCACAGCCAGTTAATTATATAGGGAATACAAATAAAAAATGATCATGTTCATCTTCATACTTAAATTTTTACATTTCCAAAATCTTTCATCTCTTTTTATAATTGGGTTACAAGTGCTCACAAATTACAGTAATTTGTGAGCACTATTGTAACCCAATTATACCAAGAGATGAAAAATTTTGTATTTCAATTTGTAAAAATTCCCTTGACTTATTAACTGGCAGTAGAACATCATTTTTTATTTGTATATCCTCTATATAAACATATTCTCAAAATATTTTTTCAATTTTTTCAAAATCTTTTTAATAATACATGTATATCATTATGAAATTCTTCATCAAGTATAGTTTGTATACAGTTTTGCAAGAAATATTTTTCCACTTCCTGCAAGTTTTCATCCTCTAAATATGCATGTTGTATAAGTAAATTTGAATTCTATTGACTATATATATTTTATATTTTTTAAATCTATAATAATATCTTATCTAAATAATAATTTATAAACTTGAATAAATAAATAAATAAATATAGCAGCTTTAACTGCTAAATTAGAAGCATATATGGCAATAAAATGTCTTTCAAGATAAAATTTTGAATTTTTTCTTTTTAAAAAGTCTTTTGTAAATTTCTAAAATCACTTTTTTCAACACAAGTTAAAATTGGTTTTGTATCATATATTCTCCTTTCCTGACTTTTATTAATTTTTGTTAAAATTGCCTTCTTTCTATGCTAAATTCAGCATGCATATTTCAATTTACAATTTCAATTTTTTAAGAATCCCCGTTAAGTTTTTTAACGAACAGTCTCTATGTGAACGTTTCTTTGAAATTATTTCGTAGCAAATACTTTTTTCTTTCTTTCCAAGTCTCACTTTTCTGACATTCTTGACATCCAATATTTCAAACGAATATTTGTTATTTCCTGGGGAGTTCCCGGGTCCTCTCTCCATTACAATGTACAATTCCTAGTCTGACAACTTTAACACTAGAAGGGAGCACGGAGCAGTATGCATATGTATGAATTTTAACTTTCTTGTAAAAAAAATGAATAATATTAGTTAAGGAAGCATATGTGTATGTCTGATGAAGAAACTGAGAATGAAAAAAAGTTCATAGGGGGATTTTTTTTGAAAAAGGGGTGGAGGTGGGGGTGGGAGTGGACCTATACTTTTGAATAAATAACATGGATGAGGGCTGCATGACACACATGCTACATAGTAAGGCTTGTTTTAAAACTAAACACTATGCAACAGGCATTATGAAAGTTCATCATTCCATCTGCACACAAAGTATTGAAAGGAAAGACAAGATTTTTAAAATATAAATAAAGCATTAAAAGTACTTATTTTCACACATATTTCTGATCATTTTGAAATAAGAATGGGGCTTTAATAGAAACAAGGGCTTATTTCACGTTTGACTTATAATTGTAAAATCTTGAACACTTTTTTTTTGAAAATAAGAGATTGTGCTATAATATAGTACAATATTTGAAATTTAATTTACTTTTTGTAGACTTTAAAATTAAAAGATTGTTCAGCGGAAAAATGGATTTCCCCAGTGATGAAGTGATCAGAGAACTGGAGAACAGAGAGTACAGTATAGAGGGATACTTCTCCAAGGCTGAGCTGGCCAAACTCTCTGAAGTGGAACTGCTTAGATACAAAAACATGAGGAAGAATTACGAAATAATGCTGGCTGTTGGTATGTTCAACTTAAAGATTAAAAGTATATAATATTTCTTCCAAAGATTTATATTTGAAAATGATCTGAAGTTGCAGCAAAAGGGGTACAACTCCAGGCACTGTGTATTATGATCCAATGTATATGTTTAATGGTTAACTTCAAATGCACTAATTAGCAATTTCGTAATTGATTTATATATATATTTAATAATTTCAGGATTACCAGCAGTGATGCCTGAGTTTATGAAGGGACCCAGATCTCGAGCAAAAAGAAAACCAAAGAAAGTAGAATCGGACAGCGATGAGGAATGGACGCCTTACAAGTCTGCGAGGGGTACAGTACCTGAAATATTTTACTATTACTACACTACTCACTGACAGTTCTTGCACAGTTTTCTCTCTTTTGTTTTTTTCTGGTTCACTCCCTCTAATTTGCCCTGAATTTCCTCTTTAGTTGGTTCATAATGACATGTTCACTGTCATTGCATAGCACAGTATTTCACAGATTCTAACCATGTATAAATATTGCTGGAATTTGCATTTTTATTAGTATCCTGCACTATTTTGGTAAATATCTTGACTTTTTTAATTTGCTTCAATGATACCTTAAATTATCAAAATATGGAGACTGAAATAATGGTATTTAACAGGATTAAATATTCTTGAATTAAGTCCATATAAAATTGATATCTCGGTTCTCAGGCCCGCGCGCATCCGTTTTGAGGTAGCAGCATTGCAAATTTTATTGTATTTTTGATAAAAATAAAAAGTTGGTGTTGCGGAGACCAATCCGGGAAAAAAATTCTGACCTCATTTGTATCGTAGTTTAGTATTCAAATATCACTTCCGGTAGCCATTTACAATGAGATTTTGGCGTAACTTCGTTTGAAAATACATTTGAGGACATTACCTATGATGTGTACACTCTGTTAAGCAATGGATAAAGCAGAAATTTTGACCAGAAATGAAAAGTATATATCTGTGATTAAAAAAATTATCTTTATGTTAAAGAAAATTCGGAAATTAAAATAAAAAAAAATACCCCCCTCATCTACTTTATTGACAATAAAATGAAAAATAAAATGCCGCCCTCCCGCATCTTTTTTTGGAGGAAATTGGCCTGAGAACCAAGGAATTAAATTTAGGTAGCCTAATTTATTTATTAAAAGTTTTGAATTATAAAATATTAAATTAAAGAGAGGTGCAATGTATGCTATGATTTATAATTTTTAAATAATTTTTTTTATGCATTGATAATGTTTAGGATTAAATACCAGTATACCATTTCATGTAAAATTAAACATCAAGGTTTAGTTTTTTTTATCTATAGAAAAGAAACAGACAGTTAGATTTTCAGTACCAGTAAAGGAGCAAAAGGAAAAAAGACCCAGAAAAGCGAAGGTATGGGAAGATTGGTCTGTATTGATCGACATAATGTATATTAATTTATCCTTCAGAATTATACAGTCAATCTGATTGGTTTAAAGCATGTCTGTCTGTAAACAATTTTTCAAAATGCTACTCCTCCTACAGTTTTGATCTGATTTAAATATAACTTGGCACACAAGTAGACTACACTAAGATACATAATTCTGTGTATCGGATTTTTATTTCGACGAACGATGTTGGCGTTGTTACTAAAAATAGAAATTTCTGTGAGATTCTTTCAAAATGCTACTCCTCCTACAGTTTTGGTTTAATTTCAATATAACTTGGCATATATGATTATACGTACATAATTCTGTGTATCGGATTTTGATTACTAAACAGTGTTGGCGGTGTTAAAAAATAAAATTTCTGTGAAATTCTTTCAAAATGCTACTCCTCCTACAGATTTGTTCTGATTTCAAAATAACTTGGCACACAAGTAGACCACACTAAGATACATAATTCTGTGTATCTGTTTTTTGATTGCAACGAACGGTGTTGGCGTTGTTACTAAAAATAGAAATTTCTGTGAGATTCTTTCAAAATGCTACTCCTCCTACAGTTTTGGTTTGATTTCAATATAACTTGGCATATAAGTAGACTACACTAAGATACATAATTCTGTTTATTGGTTTTTGATTTCGAAGAACGGTGTTGGCGTTGTTACTAAAAATAAAAATTTCTGTGAGATTCTTTCAAAATTCTACTCCTCGTACAGTTTTGGTCTGATTTCAATATAACTTGGCACACAAGTAGACTACACTAAGGTACATAATTCTTTATATCCGTTTTTGACTTCAATGAACATTATTACCTTGGATAATTAAAAGTTTCAATTCCCAACTGCTTAAGTACTTTATTCTTCCTTTGCTTTAAGTAAAAACCAGTAGAGCTTCAGTCTCAACAGAGACTTCTGGTTATATATTTTATTATGTACAATACTATTGATTACTGCATGACTTGTGTAGATTCTGTAACATTCAAAATATCTAAATCTTCCAAAATAAATGAATAAAAAATAGTTAAAGTATACATCGGCAGCACTCCATTTTTAGCTCTACTGGTCAGAGACCAGAAGAGCTTATGCAATAGTAATGCGTCCGTCGTCAATCCGTCTGTCTGTCCGTCTGTCTGTCTATCTGTCTGTAAACAATTTTTCAAAATGCTACTTCTCCTACAGTTTTGGTCCGATTTCAATATAACTTGGCACACAAGTAGACTACACTAAGATACATAAATCTGTGCATCGGTTTTTGATTTCGGTGAACGGTGTTGCCATGGTTACTAAAAATAGAAATTTCTGTGAAATTGTTTCAAAATGATACTCCTCCTACAGTTTTGGTTGGATTTCAATATTACTTGGCACACAAGTAAACTACACTAAGATACATAATTCTGTGCATCAGTTTTTGATTTCGGTGAACGGTGTTGCCGAGGTTACTAAAAATAGAAATTTTTGTGAATTTGTTTCAAAATGCTACTCCTCCTACAATTTTGGTCCGATTTCAATATAACTTGGCACACAAGTAAACTACACTAAGATACATAATTCTGTGCATCGGTTTTTTGATTTCAGTGAACGGTGTTGCCATGGTTACTAAAAATAGAAATTTCTGTAAAATTGTTTCAAAATGCTACTCCTCCGACAGTTTTGGTTCGATTTCAATATAACTTGGCACACAAGTAGACTACACTAAGATACATAATTCTATGCATCGGTTTTTGATTTCGATGAACGGTGTTGCCTTGGTTGCTAAAAGTAGAAATTTCTGTGAAATTCTTTCAAAATACTACTCCTACTACAGTTTTGGTCTGATTTCAATATAACTTGGCGCACAAGTAGACTATACTAAGATACATAGTTCTCTGCATCAGTTTTTATTTTGATGAGTGGCAAGGATCATTTTCTATTTATTGCTGTTTTAAAGTTTTAAGTCCCAACTGCTACTTTTCTCTTCCTTTGTTTTAAGTATAAACCAGTAGAGCTACAGTCTCGACAGAGACTTCTGGTTAAGGAAATATAATTTACATGTATAAAAACTTAGAGTACTCCCCCTTGTTTTCAAAGTTGACTTGAGTATGTAGAAGATAATAAGGAAATAATTATCCATAGTTTTTAAAGTTAAGCAAATAAAAAGTAAAACCATGCAATTATCTCGATAAGAATTTGCTCTTCCAAGTGATGGGTATGCCAGGTATTACAGAAGGAGTGCTGGCAGTGTCCATGTATTGTTATACATGGAAAACCCTAAATATATCCCTAATCAAAATGTACAATAGGTCAATAGGAGGTTAACAATGACATAATGTGATAAAAATTCCTTGGAAGTCTCTAAAGAATGAATCGTTTAAACGTCCACATTTGGCCCCCCAAATATTTGCAAAAATATAACTTGCAGATTTTTTACATAATTTTGCCCTAATCTTTCCATTAAACATTGTAGTTTATTAATTTCAATTTAAAAATTTGCTTTTATAAACTGTAATTCGGTATTTTTCTAATTAATATAGCAGGGGTACATTGTTTACATCAATTTCTCATAGACTTTAGGCCACACCCCCATTTTGTAAGCCAATTTTTTATATGAGCGCATAGATGTTTCAATTTGCTGTTTTTATGGACAACGTAAAAAGTAATACTAATCATTTACATCCATGAAAGAAATTGAAACAATCGTGCGCTCATGTGTTATTTTTCCAAAAACCTCAAAATCATGGGTACTTGTCTCTATAGTAAAGCCAGGGATTTATCTAGCTATTTTGTTTTACTACCGTTTTATAAGTAAAGGGGAAAAATGAGAGCCGCAGGCTCGATCTGAGCGCCGGAGGCGCGAAGGGGGGTCCGGGGGCATGCCCCCCCCCCCTGAAAATTTTTAAATAAATGGAGCAAAATCCTGCATTCTTAGAGCTTCTGAGGGTCATTTGTAGACCTTTACGAAGGCCATAAAAACTTTACTTTTGAGACAAAATATTAACAAAAAAAAAATTTGAACCAAGTCAGTACTTTATTAAATTTTTTCTCTCAATGTCTATCACAAATCAATTCTGTCTTTTATGTTTCACTACTAACATTGTTTTTGTTGTTACTCCATTCTTCCAATTCATAGTGATTTAAGCTCCATCTTACTCATCTACACTTTTCATAACTCTGCAATCGCATACGTATATTTTGACATCATGGACATGGCACATGTTTACCGATCAATATCAACTAGAATCGAAGCTTGAATAATCTACTCTCGCTTTTAAAAGCCCTTGAATGACTAGGATTGTGAATTAGGATATGCTGTTAAACTTCAATCGGACAAAAACGGAAAATTTCAGTACGATGTTTTAAATATTCTCCGTTTAATTGGAGACTTTTCTATCTGAAAAAGGGGAATTTTTCACCTTTTTCAAGAGGGGAAAGGTACCGTTTACCGGTAGTAAAAACAGCCTTGATAAATCCCTGAAAGCTACCTTGTTTACAAAGTTCAACCCGTCTTTGACCTCATGAATAACAAAGCATTGAACATGTGATTTAAATCTATCCACTTTCACGCTTTGAGCACACCATTTCGACATAGTGTCTATAGAGTGTCTGCAAGCTATCCATTGTCAAATCTAATATTCCATCGGCTAAAAAACTTGGACAACCCTTCTATTTGAAAAAAAACATGTATTTTGGAGGAGTGCAAACTTGATTTATCTATTTCCAAGGTTGAATTGTTTTATTTACCTGTTATTGAGCGTTATTTTTGCCATTTTCCGTTTGTTTGTTTTTTCTTTCGGTAAGTATATATCGATCTACTTCGGGGGGGGGGGGGGGGGGGGGGGTTAGTTTCTGTTAGTTAATCACTGCATATATTTATTAAACATAATTAAAAATTCTCTTTAGGTATCGTTGATTCTGCTTTTTACTGTGTTTATATATTATACACGTGCGTCTGTTTTAAATAAACTCTCACTCAAACTGCTGGAAGATATTAAAAATTATAGTCCTTTTTTCTGTAAAAACCGTCATTATACACTGTTACAATCGGAAAACACTTACTAGTATTCACCATGCCTAAAAGTATAAACTGTGTTGTTTGTAAAAAGAGCACAAATAAATCTAATCGGGAAAGATAAACGAAGTACGGAGGACTGAATTAGCGCATATTACGGGAGGAAAGGTCACGGGGGATGACCACATCTGCACAAAATGCACCCTCGATATGAATAGGGGGAAGCTTCAGACTTATGGGGGCAATGTTGAAGTTAAAACATTTTACATCGACACAAAGTCAAACAAATGTGCTATTTGCATATTTCGTAAAAAGTCAATGAAAACTGTTTCTAAGAAAGCCTGTGGACAGGTATTTCTTAAACATAATTTTATATTGCACGAAAAAGCACGTGTATGCCCCTCTCACTTGTCCAATGAACGCATAATTAAAGATCAGCATTATCCTGGCTTTCTATCAATATTCAACCGCATACATATATTTGTTGGAACACTCAGTTTTTTTGCAAAATTATAAGCTATTGATAATCAATTCTACGTGTAAAAAAAACTTTAACGAAATTATTATCGCTTTTGAATTAAAATAATTATCCCTTGAGAAATATATACTGTGAGTAAGCTAGGTTACTGTAAAATCTTAAAAATACTTTCCTAAGTCCTAAAAATACCATCGTTTGTAAGACATTATGTTTACAGACACCATATCATTGTGTTTACATTTTATTTCAACGAATTTCAAAAAGAATTATTTCATTGATATACTCGTTTAAAAGCTAAGCAGTAAAAACAAATCCTAAACCTGCCAAAATTATTACATAATATTATTGTCGGTCCCAAGCCCGAAGAAAAGGTGAGGGGTTTTTAAGATTGTTTAGTTGTTTAATAAGATATCACTTAAAAACTATATTAAGTACACGTCGAACACTCGATAATATATTCAAACTATTCGCACGCTTGATTGACGCTCCGCCTCCTTATTCAAATAATACAATCAGTGAATGACCTACATAGCCACAATGGCGAAGTTGAGATTTGGCACTGATGTATGCAATTTTATTTCATTGATATTTTGTATATATTGAGAGTCTCTCTATCAAAAGGATTTTGAAGTGTTTGTATTCATACCATACTTGTACATTTTAGCTAAAATATGTCAATGTTCTGATTTGAAAAGGCAAAAATCCGTGTTTAAAAAGGGGCCAGATCGCAATGTTATGAAGAGTCATTCTTTTATAGCTAGGAGGAGTTGCGAATACTGTACTCCTAATATAATTTGTTATATTAAAAAAAATTTGCTTATTAATGTGACACCCCAATGTATAATGTCTCATCAAATTAATATAGAAAGTACACTTGACAATGGCACTTTGCAATATTAGGAATCTGTAAAAGCCTCACCAGAGTTTATTCTGTGATAAGTAAAGTACCAGTAAATTAAGGATTGACAGATAAGAGATGGGGCTGACAAGGGTAACAGACTGTGAGACAGACAACTACTGTAGATCACTTTTTATTCGCAAGAACTTTATTTTCGCGCAAGTACACGAGATGATAAGATATGCTCGCAAAAATTTCATTCTCGCGTTTGATAGAGTTCCTTAAGATTATATAAAGCAATGAACACAATTTTTATTCGTGAAAATTTTGTCTTGCTAATAAAGAGTCGATCAATGACTACATGTATCTTGCGAAAATAAGGTGTCGCAAAAATTGAGTGCATGATCTACAGTATCAGGACACCCCATGGCCAACACATCTTATACACTTTATACACTTGTATATATATACATGTATATATATATATTTAATGGAGTCAGGATAGAAAAAACCAAAATGGAAACATTATTATACAGTAATCTTAATTTGAGTGCAGGTGTAATTAACTGAGTTGAAAAACATCACTAATTCTCAGATGGCCATGTGATACAAAATAATTTAATCAGGGTAGCATTTATATATCAATATATCAATTAGAATATATATTCAATAAATTTGATCATATATGTTGTGGAATTTTGAAGTAGCAAACTCACTAAGAAAGAGTAGCATTTTTTTCACTTAATACCATGTACATGTAAAATACAGAATGAAATGTTGAGTGGTGCATTTGTAGAACACAATTACTTTATGGATACTAGCTAGCTACTATCATAATACAGGTAAATAAATGTTCTTTTTATTTTGAATTAAAGTGGAGCAAACGTAGAACACGTGGATACATGTACTACATGTAGCTAGTATCATAATAATGTGCTATTAATAATTCATTTTTAGACTGACAAGACAATAAAAGAGACCAACAAAACAGAGTCACGTAAATATCCACTTCGAGTACAACAAAGACTTAATTTTGCAAGACTTAATGATTTCATTCAATTTTATTGGTGTTATATTGGGGCTGTGACGATCACCCGGCTTATAATGAATTGATAGTGATTCAGCAGGTTAATGAAGGATATGTTAGATAGTTTGAAGTCTAGTACATAATCAAAGGTATCAGTCAGTTTAAATAATTTTGTTGGTAGTACTCATAGTTTATGAAATACAATAAAATCAATTGAAAGTAATGACATTTTTCTGAAATCAAGTAGAGAAAACATGAAATTGTCATATATATGCAGAAAATAAAATTAAAAGTGGGGGTTGTGATGTTAATTTATAGATATTACTAAAATAGTGCTAATTTTAATCTTATATTGGGCTATTTTATTTCAAGGACTTTCACCATCTATTTAATATATTTGCCAAATATGATGACGGAATTCACGACAGTAAATTTAGTATATATGATTTAGGAACAGCGTAGAACATTTCACTGCACAAACTACTCTGTGGGCAGGCTGAATCAGGAATCCAAACTTAAAACTGAATACTTCGAAAGAAGGTTTGGTTTGAACATATTTTATTGCACAAAATATATACAGTGGATTGGGCACAAGTTCTAAAAACTTAAATCGCCCTCTCCCTACATGAGATATTATAACAGGATGAATTAGAAGTGTTCAACAGTTTGTACAAGATAAATAACAAGTAAATTAAATAAACTCTCATTGTGGACATATATAGACTGCTACATTATTGTTTATACACATAGTTTTAAGAAATGTGTACAATCAGTTAAATATACCAGAATGCTGAATATAAGAATGTACAATAGAAAATAGATACTCATTTTCAGCACTACTGAGTGATGTATCCCCCCAGAGTAAAGTCTGAATGTCAACAATATGGACTTTATTAAATCTCAAGAACGTATCAAAAAAAACTCTATCCTGGCCTCGTTGTAGTTAGGGCACGAGAAAAAATAATGATGTGTATTTTCTACCTTACCGCAGGAACATAGTGGACTAGATATTATATTACATCTATAAAGATCAGCGTTTAGCACGCAATTGTGCTGAAGCCGTGTATGCAGTATATTGTTGCGTCTTTTACCAAAATTAAAATAAAAAGAAGGAAAATTGACCCTTCTGTTCGGGAAAAAAAAAAAAAAAAGCTTTCGCCAAAAAATGATTAAAATTCCTAATTAAATAATTTTGGTATGGAAATAAATCCAAAACTAAAACTAAAGATTAATACAAGTAATATTTACATCCACTGAATATTTTCTCCATTATTTCTTAAGAAAACCCATTGCGTTAATCACTGCTTGAACTACAGGCATGTCGCCTGTACAGACTTCTTGCTCAGTGGCTGTTCTATCAATGAAGCGTATATAAAGACGTTCGCATCATTAATACAATTAATAATCTTTTTAATTCTAGCCTCTTTAAATGATTATTTAAACAAATATAAATATAAACAATAAAATGTCCTGCTTTGTTTGTTATTACTGGAATTAACGGAAGCAGCTGTTGCAGAAAAAAATCATCATTTTTTTTCCTGCAATAGCTGCGACCGTTTATTCCAGTAATAACAAACAAAGAAAGCATTTTATTGTTTAAATTTATTTGGAGATGATGTAATCTAAAACTGGGGAAGGTGATCACGTGTCAACATTTTATAGACATTATCTTTATTTTGAATAAATATAACACTCAATCACTTACCGTGCAAATGAAATTCTGGATTTGGCAGATGAGCGTGGAGTTTTAGTTCCGTGTCCTGGGGTGCTTTGTCCGGAGTTTGAATCAGATGAGGTGCGGGATCTAGTAACACTATTACTTCTCTTGGAGGCAGACATAATCCATCAGTGACATTAAAACATACACTTTCAAAAACACAAATACAACTTTGTTTATTTTTTACGAAATTTTTAACGGCAGGGAAGTATACTTCTCTTTTCTATGCCACTGAAGTTGTCCTTTTAAAATATCTGCAATGCTTCCCTTTAATAAATTCTTTAGACATTTTCGTTAACGCTTAATTAAAGCATTAATTTATGAGATAAGTATAAAGTAAACTTATTAACCTTCACATCCGATACAACATAAATTCTTTTCCATATGGAAACTTAGTGGAAATTTTAAATTCTCTATAAATCTATCCGAGTTTATTCAGAATCCTGTCTGGTTGAAAATGTTTGTACTTTGCTATATGTTTAGAAGCAGACATATCTTAATGCCCTAATGAATTTATAATAATATTGACAAAGAAAGAAAAACAATAGATAAAAACGAAAATTAACGAATCGATAGGGCGGGGAAAAGTGGGTCGATTTTTCGCGCCACGGTTTCTAATCGAAGCACGCGTTTCTATTGATTATTCGCACTTGAAAAGGACAGATGTATTGTACTTTTGTAAGGTGTTGTAATACTTGTATGTAATAATGTTTAACTAGTGGATATTGTTGAAAAAAAGACAGCTGTAAATATTGCAGATAAAGTAGACCAAAAATGGCAGGAGACAGCTGGAGCTTATGATGCTTGATTTGTCTCACAGGAGTCATGCAGCTACATTGGGTTATATGCTGTGTAGTTTGATATAAATTTAACAAGACAAATATGTCAAACAGCCAATAGTCCGAAAACCTACAGGTCGAACTTGAACAAACTTTAAACTATTTTGCAAGAAGACATTTTAGCTCACCTCAACGAAGTTGGCCAGGGGGGAGTTTATATTGTCCTCCACAAAAATTTGAAATTTTCAATTAAAATTAATTGTAATATACAAATTTTAATTGAAAAATTCAAATTTTTGTAGTGGACAATATGATACCCTTGGCGTCCCAGGTTAAAGTTATTGGTCCAGTTTTCTTTTAAGTACATGTACTTCTACGCCCTATACATAAGCCATAGAAGCACGGAGGGTGCTTTATGTGTGTTTCCTTGTACCAGCCAAGTGTTCAGATGCTGCAATTTCAGCAAAGGAATGACCATGCAGGTTAATATTTTTGGAGCAGATTTAATGGTTTTATGCCCCGCCCCTTTGAAGAAAGGAGGGCATATTGCTTTGCTGCTGTCTGTCGGTTGGTCGGTCGGTCTGTCAGTCCACTTAGTTTCCGTTCATTTCTACACAACCGCTGCACATACTGAAATCAAATTTGGTATACAGATAACATTTATATCTAAGTCAAGTTCTGTTTTGGGTACCATTGCACCATTTTTGACAGAGTTATGCCCCTTGGAGTTAGAAAAATTTCAATTATATGCAGTTTCAGCTCATTTTCTTTGAAACCTTTGCACATACTGAAATGAAATTTGGTATACAGATACAGTATAATTTGTCCAAACCGGCTACCGCCGGTTCCATAAAATTTGGCCGGTTTAGACAGAATCCGGAGTGCAGGAAAAATGCAGGAAAATATTAATTTTGACATTTCGTTGTTTATTTACAAGTACATCATATACATAATATAAAGTGTAATTAAATTATAAAATCAATCAACATTTTGGAGTCTAGAAATTATAAAATAGTCTCGCATGACTTACTGTATTTCTTGTTTGTTCACGAGGTTTGAAAGTCTGGTGAAATGTTACCTAAATCAAAATCTACAGACACGAGTTTTATAGGCCTACTATATATCAAGCGGACCGGGTTTCGCTTGTCAAAGAGCACATTCAATGTTTAACCAGTAATGCACAATTATTTAGGATGTGATAATTATTGGATTGAACTTTTAATTTTTATGTAAAACATTTCGTCTTCCCCACACTGTTATGGCGCCATTTTGAAATGCGTTCGATTTTCGATCCCGATTTATATTTTGATTTGTAAATCGGGTACATATTATATTTTTGTATTTATGTTATAATGTGGTAAAATGAGTTAAAACAGGGTAATTTTTCTTTTAAATTGTAATTTAATATCATAATATTTTTTTCAAGCGGGCTGTATCACCGCCGCATTTCAATGAGTTCGTCTTATGGCACTATGCTAATGTAAACACAGATTAGCACATCCACCACGAAAGGTGTTAATTGCTTAGAAGTAACTCAGGTGTGGCCGGATTAGGGGAAATAATTACCGTTAATTATGAGCAGTTGGGACCAGTGTGGCCGTTCGGAATACAGAATAGACAGTATCCGGACTACACAGAATTTTTTCTAATGAATTTATTAAAGAAGTGCATGGGACTAAAATTTATAGACGGAATGGACAAAAATCCGGAGTACTCAGAGTCCGGATTGGACAAATTTTACTGTATATCACATTTATATCTGAATCAAGTTCTGTTTTGGGTACGATCGCACCATTTTTGACAGAGTTAAAAGTGAGAAAAATTCCACTTTTTTGCAGTTTCCGTTCATTTTCTTTGCAACCGTTGAACATACTGAGATGAAATTTAGTATACAGATTTATCAGATAAATATTTAGGTCAAGTTCTGTTTTGGGTACAATTGCGCCATTTTTGACAGAGTTATGCTCCTTGGACTTACAAAAAATTCCAATTATTTGCACTTTCCTTTTATTTCTTTGCAGAGGTTGCACATACTGAAATGAAATTTGGTATACAGACTTATCAAATGACTATTTAGGTCAAGTTCTGATCTGGGTACAATTGCGCCATTTTGACAGAGTTATGCCCTTTTGGACTTGGAAAAATTCCAATTTGGGGGGAGGGGGCATAAGCGTTTTACAAACATCTCTTGTTGTTGCATGTTCAATATCTTTTTGGTGCATGTTAATCTTTTTGGTGCAGGTCTCATTTCCAGGTAACTACATGTGCTATAGTATACGCCCTATGTTGACCAAACTTGTGAATGATACATGCATCTAAAGGATGCAAATTACGAAGCTGCCTCAGACGCTGAATCTGACGTATTTTCCGGTTGACCGTTGGGTGAACCGGTTTAAAGTTTTTGATGCTGATCTTATTTTTAAGTATCTATAAGCTATATCCCTACAAGGGCTGTTCAATGAATAATGTCGGTGCTCGGAAAGAAGCAAAAGACGCTTTCCAATGATTTAGCCTAAATGATTTAATAACATTTTCTCTTAATTAAAACTCAAATCTTTCCTTAAAATAGTGTTAAGTGGTCCCAAATTGA